TCAGAGAAATGTAAATCAAAACTACAATGAGATACTATCTCACCCCAACACGGCTGGCACTAATCCAAAAAACGTAAAATAAAAAATGTTGGAGAGGTTGTGGAGAGACTGGAACACTTACGCTCTGCTGGTGGGACTGTAAAATAGTACAACCACTTTGGAAATCGATTTAGCGCTTCCTTAAAAAGCTAGAAATAGAAGTTCTATATGATCCAGCAATCCCACTCCTTGGAATATATCCTAGAAAAATAAGAGCTGTCACACGAACAGATACATGCACACCTATGTTCATTGCAGCAGTGTTCACAATAGTAAAAAGATGGAAACAATCCAGGTGCCCATCAACAGACAAATGGATAAACAAATTATGGTACATACACACAATGGAATACTATGCAACGATAATGAACAATGATGAATCCATGAAACATCTCACAACATGGATGAATCTGGAGAACATTATACTGAATGAAATCAGTCAGTTGCAAAAGGACAGATATGTATGAGATCACTAGTCTAAGAATGCAAGAAAAGGTTTAAACACAGAAGAAAACATTCTTTGATGGTTACGAGAGTGGGGAGGGAGGGAGAGGGAATTCACTAACTAGACAGTAGACAAGAATCATCTTAGGTGAAGGGAAGGACAACACACAATACAGGGGAAGTCGGCACACCGGACTAAACCAAAAGCTAAGAAGTTTCCTGACCACAACCAAACACTTTGAGGGACAGAGTAGTTGGGGTGGGGGCCTGGGGACCATGGTTTTGGGGCACATCTATGTCAATTGGCATCACAAAGTTTATTAAGAAAATGTTCTGCATCCCACTTTGGTGAGTGGGGTCTAGGGTCTTAAAAGCTTGCAAGCGACCATCTGAGATGCATCAATTGGTCCCAACCCACTTGGAGCAAAGGAGAAGGAAGAACACCAAAGACTCAAGAAAAATATTAGCCCAAGAGACAAAAGGGCCACATAAACCAGAGACTGCAGCAGCCTGAGACCAGAAGAACTAGATGGTGCCCGCTATCATCAATGACCGCCCTGACAGGGAACACAACAGAGAGTCCCGGTTGGAGCAGGATAAAAGTGCGGAGCAGAACTCAAATTCATATAAAAAGATCAGACTTAGCGGTCTGACAGAGACTGGAGGAACCCCTGAAGCCATGGCCCCCAGACACCCTGTTAACCCTGAACTAAAACCATTCCCAAAGCCCACCTTTCAGACAAAGATTAGACTGGACTCTAAAACATAAAATAATACTCATGAAGAGTGTGCTTCTTAGTTCAGTCAGAAACACGATACCAAATGGGCGGTTCCTGTCTGGAGGCAGGGTGAGAAGGCAGGAAAGGACAAGAACTGATTGAATGGACACAAGAAACCCGGAGTGGAAAGGAGGAGTGTGCTGTCACATAGCGGGGATTGCAACTAATATCACATAACAGTATGTGTATGAGTTTTTGCATGAGAAATTGACTTGAGTTGTAAACTTTCACCTAAAGCACACACGCACACACACACACACAAAAAAAAAATGTGTGGCTTTTGTTACAGATTCTCCGTGGAACAACAGATGAGGGAGAGATAGCCAGGACAGCCTGTGTTATGCTTCCTTCCAGTAGGCTACCAAAATGGAAATACTTGCATCTGGCTTACTCCTGTCATATTTTAAAGAGTCGCCTATGTAAATGAATGTCCCTGGGTGGCTCAAACAGTTAAGTGCTTGGTTGGGGGTTCAAGGTCACCCAGAGGAGCCTCAGAAAAAAGGCAAGTTTTTTTTCTACTTCTGAGAAATCACAGCCACTGAAAGCCCAAGGAAGCACAGTTCTACTCTGACACACGTGGTGGAGCCATGAGTTGGCATCAACTTGACAGCAATTGGGTTTTTTTGTTTTGTTTTATTTTGTGCTACATAAATGGGAGTGTCTGTGGCTTGAGTGCTGAGCGACCCAGGATTTTTATTTTATGATTGCAGAGTTTGCATCATTTTGTTTTGACCCGAAGGTATAGTTTTGAGAGATAACAGTGCTGGAAATTTCTTTGCTTACCATCAGTTTCACCTAAAATGGTCAAATCTACCACTGCTCTTGTTTTTCAGCTTTTATATTTCTAACAGCCAACCAGATTAGAACATCTAATACCTATTTTATTATTTATTTAATCTCGGCTTCTATTATTAGAGTAGCCATCTTGTCCTGATTTTTCTGGAACATTCCAGGTTTGAAAACTTGTCCCAGTGTTAGGCTGTAATTCCAGATTTGGTTGGAAGTGTGGGCCCTTGTAGAGTTGACACATGAAGCCCCATACTGAGCACTGTGATCTCAGATATTTACTTTTGGTGCTCATTGGATGTTCCTTTTTGTAATTTTGCAAATCCTTTACTAAATGTTTTCTCACTCTAAAGGGAATTCTAAGTTTCATAGTTGGGGGGGGGGCAGGGAATGATGATGTCTTTGTTTCCTGTATTTTGATCTTTAGTAAAAATAGAGCTCTCCTTTCATCAAACAATAATTTTGGTATTATTAGTTCCTTTCATTTTACATAGTCAGAGCATCTATAACTCTAGATGTCAGTCAGGAATCTTCCCATCATTCCCTCTGTTCTTCTATTTGGGAAGTATTTTAATTTCATAAACATGGGGAAGAGCATTTCTGTCCACACAGTAGACTCCACCTCCCCACCCCATTTCTAGCCCAGATAGAATAAGCCAAAATTCAAAATCTGGGATTTTTGGAAGAAATCAACTGGTAACCAAGCATTATGAGCAAAAAACTTGATTTATTTTATATATATATTCTCTAGTAATTCATAGTAGGTTCTTGAATTTTAAATGTCTTTTGCTATTTCCAATGCTTAAAAATCATAATTTTAAAACGTAAGTACTGTTTTATATACACTGTGATTTATTTATTTATTTATTTTACTTCTAAATACGAATGATATGGTCTCCAAGTATCCACTTGGAAGGTAAGGGGATAGGGGGTCATTGTTTTTCTCTAACACGGTAGAATTTAAAATTTCACATCGTATACCTGGAGTTTCGACTATATGAAAAATAGCCAAATGTCACCACTTTCTTATATATTTCTTTTACATGTATATATATATATATATGTATAATATAAACAGAATACATCTGATTAGTACATTTCAACATTTCATCGATGTGACTTTTATCTCCTATTTTATATAAAATAACAAAATATACAGACAGAAGAAAGGAGACATCTGTTCATCGTACACGTAAAGTAAAGAAAAGTTCATGTATGGCTTTGCAAAGGTAGATTATGACGTGACTTTCACACTTTATTTATTTAAAAGCATCTTGAGAGAACGTGTTAGTGTGCTTACGATAGCGGCCATGGTGGTTGAATGTCGCATCGAGAGTCCAACAGTGGGATCCCCCGTGGTCTTTCCAGTGGCTACCTCAGCAGCTTTCAAGAGACAAATGTAGTTTATGACCACTTCATCAATCTTCGCTACAATTTCCTGCCGCTGTGTTTCTGAGTTCACAACTTTAACTAATCGCATGCAAGCTTCTGTTAGGCAACAGAGCACTTGAAAGCTGGAAGTCATAGCTAGGAGCATCTCCTCTGGACTTTTCTCGGCCATCGCCATTTTCCTACAGGCACTTCCCAACTGTCTGGATGCGATGGATAACAGTTGCTTGTACTGAGAAAGTGTAAGGTCATATGCTTCAGGGCGTGGCTCCTCTCTCTTCCCCGCGGTTGCTCTGACGAGGCAGAGAAGCTCATTGGCATCATTCTGGGCCGCGAGGAACCCATCGGGCATTGAATATGTGCTCTCTTTTAGGGCATTTATTCTTGCAATCCGGGCATCAAAAGCCAGGTTGCTGAAATCCAAGTCATCTGGGCCACTCAGGTCTTCCTCCCAGGCCTTCAGCACTGAACCTTTGGACAGCTCCCCTCCTTTCTTCTGAATCTCAACAGCCAGGGATGGGCTGGTTGGCTCTGGCATGGCTTGAGTCGTCTGTGGTTTGTAGAGGCAAGAGACCCGGCGGGTGACATCTTCCCCCTCGTCGTCCTCATCACCATCTTCATCCTGCCCTCGGTTCAGAAAACAGTAGCTAAAAGGTCCTCGGCACCTCCAATTGCTGCCCTCCAGCTTCCGCAAGGGTAATGTCCTATACAGCTTCGAGTCTTTCTGAGTCACCGGGGACCTCTTGTGAGCCTTCCCCTCAGAGCTGAAGTGCATCGAGCTTTGGGAAAAGCTTTTGGTGAGCTTCTTCCCCAGGGGGAGTTCTGTTCGTCTTTCTGAACTGGCCTCCGGTGCTTCTGTGATACCTGGACACTTTACACTGACTGCACCCTTGGTCCTCTCTCGGAGGGTCTCCATACCTACAGATCCCAAGAGGGCACTGCTACTACGTGTCAGCACCCTCTGGCTAGGCGGTGTCCTAAGGCTCCCCACTCTCAGACCCGGTGGCCTCCAGCTCACAGCCCCTCCGTATGCCTGGTTTGCTTGGGAGAAATCATTAGGGTCTTGATTTTCAGTTGGCACCTTTGATTCCAAATGAATGGTTGATGGTAGCAGGATGGGATCAGCTTCAGGACGTTGAGACCAAGCTGAAGGCATGCCTCCTTGTCTCTCCTTCCCAGGCTCTGTCAAAGCTACACTAGGGGTAGTAGAAAAACAGAGAGAATTGTTAAGCATCTCCTAGGTGCCCATGTTTACTGTATTTCTGCATGACGTCTGTCATTTCCCAGGGGTGCATTCTAGGAGGGCTGCCTTATGTTAAGGCCACTCCATTTTCTAATGACTGCCTCCTGAGAGCTCACAAAAGATTTCCCTTTCAATAAAGGTCAAGAAATACAGAAAACTGTTATTTCTGGAACTACTGATTTATTCAGAATTCTCTAGAAATGCCCTCCTTTTTAAGGAGCCCTGTGGCTCGGTGGTTAAGTGTTACCGCTGCTAACCAAAAGGCCAGCAGTTCAAATCCACCAGCCGCTCCCTGGAAACTCTATGGGGGCAGTTCTACTCTGTCCTGTAGGGTCTCTATGAGCCGGAATCGACTTGATGGCAACAGGTTTTTCAAGGGGGCAATCGAATTTCATGAATTGTCTTCATCCCCATATTTATATATCAAAGCACAGCACACTATTAGAAAACACACATCCCACACGTAGATTATTTCAACATAAAAACCAAAACCAAACCAAACCCATTGCTGTTGAGTGGATTCCGACTCATAGCGACCTATAGGACAGAGTAGAATTGCCCCTTGTGGTTTCCAAGGAGTGCCTGGTGGATTTGAACTGCCAACCTTTTGGTTAGCAGACGTAGCTCTTAACCACTACTCCACCAGGGTTTCCTGTTTCAACATATTTAAGATATTTAAGTTTCCCCTCAAGGGAGCTAGGTTAATCTTGGCATTGGTTACCGTCTTTAAAGAAGTGGCCTAGTTTAATTAATGCAAGGAGAGTCCCTTGAAGCTGTCCTGGTCCAGGGTTTGAAGTGAAGACACCAGGCAAGTACTCAACTTTTCTCAGAGAAGTGGTCATATGAAGAAAATCTCCATCTCACAGAACTTTTGTGAGAAGCAAGAGGTAACTTCGATGAAAGCTCTCTCTAAACCACTAAGGATTGAACAGTGTGATTTAATTAGGTTAGAGGTAAAGACGCTCGTTGGGCAGTGAGTTAGGTAACATTCAAAGGCAAGCTTCCCCAAGGCAGGTGTCTCTACCTGGCAGAGCCAGTGGTGGGTTTTCAGAAAGTAGATAATCTTGAAAGGTCAGGAGTGGAAGTTGACCAATATAAGATACCCCTAACATTTACTGACCCATAGAGGGAAGAAAACTATTGATGATATAATCTGAAATATAAAAGCATGAAAGAGCAGCTGTCTTTGCCAAGTGAAGGCTGGCCAAGGGCATGGGTGAAAGGGATATATGCCCACTGGGTAGGAGATTGGTGAAGGCAGGCACAGAGGGTGGAGCTGTTCTTGTTTATACCTGTGTCTGGATTTTATTATTTTGGGGGAAATGAAACAGTTCATCACACATCCCCCGAAAACCTTTCTGACACTGGGGTATGCCAGATACATTAGAATATTCCTCTAAGAGAGTCTTAGAAAACAGCAGAGTAGGGAGGAATCCGGAAGGACTGATGACAGGCAGGAGAGGGAGTCACATGATCTCCCCAAATCTCTCCCATCTCCCCCAAACCTGCTCTGTTATCTTTCCCTACCTCTCAATAGCGAAATGGCAAAATTAGAAATTAGATGCCTTGAGAGGGAAATCGAACTCTTTTGTGACCCTAAGCAATACTATCTTTTAGCTAAAAGTCATACTGGGTACCGCTCAAAGTCAACATTTGGAATTTAGAAAGAAACTGTTGCTCCATCAAGATCTAAAAGCAAACACAGAACAAGATTATAAAGAGCAAATGCCATTTTCACCATCATTCCAGATCTAGAAACTTCAGTATTTATAAAACACTGGGGGATCAGTGCTCGATATTTAGCTGAACCACAGTTTTGCAGCCCTTTTTATGCTTATTCTACCTTTTCTTTTCTTTCAGACTTTGTATTTTTACGTTTGCTGTGAATTTCGTTTACACGCCCCTGGCGTGCAGTGCAAAGAGCTACATCCATCATTGCTGTACCTGTGGTTTCCTTAATCTTGGGGAGCCGATGACATCCGTCTCTCAAAGTGCCAAACAGGGGTTCGGCATTAATGGCTGTGTGCAGCGCAGGCACTGTCATCCGCGGACACATCCCCTCTGTCTGAGGGTGCATTTCCTTGAAGGTGGCTCCGTGGTTGGGGAGCCCAGCGGCTCTCTCCTCTGAAGTGATATAACTCATGCCTTTCCCCGAAGCGTCGGGAATCAGGTGCTTCCCAATGGAGGCGCAGAGCGGGGACTCCACAGGCGTGGCACAGGTGCTGCCACTGCTGCCCGTGCCACAGCCGGCATCCACCGAAGAGCCTTGAGAGCTCTGTAGAGAAAAGTGGCCCTCGCTCTGCAGAGATGACATCCGCTTGGCCAAGTGGTACTCACAAAGCCGGGCCACACTCTCTTCCGCCTCCGGAAGCTTGGGAGGATGGTCGTGGGTGGATGAGTCAGCATCCTCTGGGTTATTCACGTCTTTGGCTGAGGATACACAGGTCACGTCAGTTAGGAAGCGGTCCCCTTGGCCAAGTCCAGAACCATCACTGGCTCCTCCATCTGGAGCCCCTTCATCCTTCCCTTCGACCTCCCTTGGCCCGAGACCAGAAGCTCTTGCAAAGGTTTTTCCTGTTGCTGCTTCCAGCCCGCTTTTTTCAGCCACCCCACCCTCAGTGGCCACATACCATCTTTGGCTGTCTTTGCGAAAGGCAGTTCTCTCCAGGTTAAAAGTGCTAAGGTGTTGACTATCCCTTGAAGACACAGTACCAAACGTACCTTTGGCGTCCTCCTCCACCTCGGCTGGTTTGGTCCCCTGCTGCTTTTTCCCTGGCATATTCCCATTAGGGGGTGTTTTCCCCTCTCCGTTGGCCAGCTTGCTTTTCCTTTTGCTGGTGCAGGAATATGCCACCGACCCCATGTGCAGTTTGCTAAAATAGTCTGTGACCGACTTGGTCTCCATGGTTTCGGGCTCCATCTCCATGTGGTCTGAGTGAAGGATCTGCTTGGAAGGCACGACTTTGGGCGGGAGGTCAGTCGCTGGGCGAGCTGCCAGGGCGTGAGAGGACTTTGGAGGCAAGCCCCCAGCGGGGGGTTTGGAGGCAGGAAACTCTGTCTGCTCTTCGGCAAGGGGGTGGTAGCCTTCATGAGTGGCCAAGAACATGCGGGAGAGGTTTTCTGACTGCTTCTGTGCTGTGGCCAGTTCAGAACTCTCCGTCATTTCAGAAGAGTTAGTTTCATTGCCTGAGTCTGACGAAGACTCAGGACTATAAGCCCGCAAGATGGCTACACCTGCAGGCCGTAAAAAACAAGAACCAGTTAACGGTTGTGTCAGAGGCACTTGAAGACATGTAAGAAAATGGGGCTCATTATTATTCAAAGACAAAAACAGAAAACAACAAGTATTTCCCTTTTTAATAAGGACTCTGAGTTTATTGCACAGTTGTTCCGGAAATGGGGAAAAAACGTGCCACATATTAAAAAAAAAGCGGGGGGGGGGGACAACAAAGGAAACCACATACACAAAAAAACCACGATGGTCGTTTCAGCACATTTATAAAATGGGACGTGTGTGAAATGGTGGACACCACATAATAGGACTCCAAGGGCAAATGGCTTGAAAGGATGAAATGATACGGTTATCAGTGAATAAACGTAACAATCATGAAAGAACCTGAATTGTCACTGGTCTGCTGTTCTTCTGACACGGACAGAGCTTCTAGAGCTTCCAGTGTGGAGACGACAGCGTTGTCTAGCCCCTTCTCACACTTCCCTTCGGCGCTGGTGGGCACAGCGTCAATGAGGGACACGGGGATCTCGTCGTTTTGCAGGTTGCTGCCTTGCTCCTTGTCCTCGCAGAAGGAAGCTGCTTGGCTCTGAGAGTCCTCCTCATCTGAACTGTCTCTAAAGCCGGGTGGGGGCGCAGCGATAGCCATGTTCAAGGAACGTAACAGGAAGTCATCTTCATTGTCATCGCCTTCCGGAGGGGGCAGGGACGTGAGGTCAATGATGTCATCGCTGGACCCAGCCAGGTTGAGGATGGGTGGCTGGTCTATCTCTCCCACCACGAGGTCCTCCTCACAGCTCACCTCGTCCTCGTCCTCTGCATCGTCGGTGTTTTCTGCGTAACAGATGTCATGCAGGAGGGGCTCCTCAATCCCTTCGGTGGCCCCGAAGTTCTTCACGTCGCCTATGTTTGCATAAACGGAATTTGCCACAAACTGGATGCCCTCTGCATCTGGAGTGAGGTCTAGGTTCTTCATGTCGTTGGCACTGCTGATGTAGAGGTTCCTCTGCTTCTCCAGCATCTCTGGACTCTCATCCAACAGTCTTTCATAGCCGAGAGTCGGGGGGCTCATGCCATCATCCAAGGCGAGATCTCCAAAAATAAAGGACACTTTAGCTCCTCTAGGAGATTCCTGTGGTTTCTTTAGAGTTTCTGGTCCGGAGAGGGTCAACAGAGACCGCTGCGCTAGACTTCTGTAGTCTGCCTCGCATGGGGCATCACCTGGCTGGGCCAGCTGCGGGTTAAGCTCATCGGAATTATACGAATTGTCTATGTACAGATGCCGATGGTCTTTGGGACACAAGGTGCCCTCTGCAATGTCAACTGTCTTCTGTTTTGCATCTATATATGTTATCTGGGCTTCTTGTTCCCCTTCGCCAATAAAGGTGGTCATTTGGGGTATACAGTTCCAATCTGGGCCAAGGAGGTTATGCTTTCCTTTGTTCTCAGTTCCTAAAGAGAAAGAATCATGCAAAGACATTACCGTGCTGTCTGGTTTCTGGGAGAGCCTTGTCTCTGTTTCTTAATTTAATAGCTTGTAGCATTGCTTGTGTAGATATCGTTATGCAGCTTTTCAAATTTGGTACCAGCTGATTTGGACTTCAGGCATTAAGCACCTCTTGACCTTAGCCAAATTGATACTTCATAAAGATAATTGCTATTTGATAAAATATAATACCATCTGGCAGTAGGGAACTATAGCTTAATTCTATCCGACCCTTTGTTCTATTATTAAAAGAATTCATTTAGGTCTACGGATGCGAATATGTAACATGCCTTTTAAAATCCTTCAAAGCAATATTTCAATGGGCTATTATTCCAAACAATAGATTGCCCTTTTCTCTGTAAAACAAGATCTAACATTCTCCACCTTGTGAAAGAAGATGTTGGACTTTTTCCTCAGTGAGTTAAGAGAAGGTCAAGGGTCCTCGTATTTCTGCCATGTTTTTTAGGAGATTAAAATAAATATGTAATGATAGATACAAAAAGAGGAAGACCCTCAACAAGATGGACTGACACAGTGGCTACAACAATGGGCTCAAACACAGCAGCGATTGTGAGGACGGCGCAGGACTGGGCAGTGTTGCCTTCTGTTGTACATGGGGTAGTTATGAGTCGGAATTGACTTGATGGCACCTAACAACAACAACGATAGATAGCATGACAACCTCTCTCTTCAGCCTTTTCGTATTCTACTGGGTATTAATCTATTCATGTGTAAATGTCATTATGTATGCTTGTATGCATGGATATATACTCATATATATATTTAAAAACACAATGCATGAGGTAGCGCATTCACAGGTAATATAGTTCTCTCTGCTATTTCAAAGCATAGCTAATAATTTGACTAACCTCAATTTTTGTTCGTATAATGGGGACTCTTGAAGATTTGTTTGATTGGCCTTATTAATTAAAATTGCAAAATTCTGATTTAAATATTGGTTTTGTTTGCTCTTCAGGGAGTTTCCAAAGGGAATTTTGATGTAGAAATTTTGCTCTGCTATTTCACAAGACGGGGCACTGGGTTATTCTGCCACTATTGTTTTGTAGATTCCAGAGGCAACATTCTGAGGAAAAGATAACTAGTAATTGTAGTAAATTTTAGGGTCACATCATTCTCCCATCTGTTCCCCCAAAGTGCCCCCTGGCCCAGGTTTGGAGAATGCTGACATCAAATGTACAAGATGTATGGGAGAAATGTAACAAAAATCAGTCTTACCAAAGAGGTTATTGCTCCCTCCAAAATTATACAATGGACATATTATGCTGTCATGGATTGAACTGTGTCCCTCCAAAATATATGTCAACTTAGCTAGTCCTGATTCCCAGTACTGTGTGACTGTCCACCATTTTGTCATCTGATGTGATTTTCCTATGTGTTGTAAATCCTACCTCTATGATGTAAATGAAGCAGGATTAGAGGCAGTTGTATTAATGAGGCAGAACTCAATCTACAAGATTAGGCTATATCCTGAGTCAATCTCTTTTGAGATATAAAAGAGAGAAGCAAGCAGAGAGACCTGGGGACCTCATACCACCAGGAAGCAATAGCCAGGAGAATAGAGAGTCCTTTGGACCCGGGGTCCCTGTGCTGAGACAGGGGAAGATTGATGACAAGGACCTTCCCCCAGAGCTGAAAGAGAGAGAAAACCTTCCCCTGGAGCTGGCACCCTGAATTCGGACTTCTAGCCTCCTAGACTGTGAGAGAATAAATTTCTGTTTGTTAAAGCCATCCACTTGTGGTATTTCTGTTATAGCAGCACTAGATAACTAAGACATATGGATTGCATTGTGTCCCTTCTCCCCCAAATACGTGTTGTAAACCCTAACCCCTATACCTGTGGATGTAATCCCATTTGGGAGTAGAGTTTTCTTTAGTATGTTAATAAGGCTGTATCAGTGCAGGGTGTGTTTTAAGCCAATCGCTTTTGAGATATAAAGGAGCAGTTTAGGTATAGAAGCAAGCAAGCACAAGTGGGGTAAGATTGATGCCATGTGGAGATCTCCAAGGAACAGAGAAAGAGAAGTTGACCGAGAGAGAAAGCCTTCCCCTAGAGCCAGTGCCCTGAATTCGGACTTCTAGCCTCCTAAATTGTGAGAAAATAAATTTCTGTACATTAAAACCACCCACTTGTGGTATTTTTGTTATAGCAGCACTAAGAAACTAAGATAGTACATAATACTGAGCCGTGCTCATAGTCATATTACTTAATATACGTATATTTTCATGAGTAGCAAGTAAAATGTATAATTTCAAAGGCACTGAGTTACACACTGGCCATATTTGCATCTTATAATACACACACCTTATAAGGGTCCAGCACTGTTTTATTAATAACCACAAAACTTCAGATTATGACTGGCTCTGTGTGTGTGTGTGCACGTGCGCACATGCATGAGTCCGCTGGGAGTGTGGATTATGGGGGGAGGGAGAGTGGTTCAGCAAACTGCATCTGTGACACAACTCTGGGTTTCAGCCAGGGGTTGGCAAACTCTTTCTGTAAAAGAGGGGTCGGATAGTAAATATTTTAGGTTTTGTGGGCCAAGTACTCAGTTGAGCAACTACTCAACCCTGCTGCTGTAATGCAAAAGCAGCCACAGATAATACATAAAAGAGTGGGTGTAGTGGCCTCCAAAAGATATGTTCACCTAGGACCTGTGAATGTGATCTTATTTGGGAAAAGGGTTTTGCGGATGTAATTATGGTAAGGATCTCGAGATGAGGTCATCCTGGATTATCCAGGTGGGCCTGAAATTCAATGGCAAGTGTCCTTATAAGAGACAAAAGAAGAAAAGACACACAGAGAAGAAGGCCATGTGAAGATGGAGGCAGAGATCGGCATGCTGTAGCCACAAGTAATGTTGACAGCTACCAGAAGGTGGAAGAGGCAAGGAAGGATTCTCCCCAGAGCCTTCTGAGGGAATGTGGCCCTACGGTCACCTTGGTTTCAGACTTCTGACCTCCAGAACTGTGAGAGAACAAATTTCGGTTGTTTTTAGCCACCCAGTTTGTGACCATTTGTTAGGGTGACCACAGGAGACTAATAAAATGGGTGTGGCTGAATTCCAATAAAACTTTATTTCCAAAAAAAAGATTTGGTTCAGGGGCCATAATTTGCTGACTCCTTGTACAGATCAACAAGAAAACCGAACAGGTCAGCTGGCTAAAAGCAAGCTAACGGATACTTACTCAGACCCTCCTAAGCCATGAAGGTGCATAAATACGTGGCATCGGGGACTCTGAAAGTGCTCAAAGGTTAATTTTCAAGATATAGAGAAGAAGAAATGGGGGGCTTACTGTTCCTTATTATAAGATCCAGACTAAGGTTTATGCTCCATTTGAGCCAAGACAAGAAGAAAATACACTCTCAATCTTGGCGGCCAACCAGAAGAGTATACTAATTTGACTTTCTGGAATGATTTTGGGGACACTGAAGGATGTGAGTTGGGCATTGGGGTCTATACTGTGGCCCAGTTTCCTACAGAGCAGGGTGAGAGGAGAGAACGGAATAGGGGTAAACTGGCCTCACCAGCCTCTTTGCGCTCTACATTTCTTGAGTCTCAGGAGACCCTATGGGAGTTCCTGCAGAGAGGACAGGGCTTTCAGCCATTAGAGGATGCTGTAGGTCCTGGGTTGCTTAGTTCTACAAGCTTCTTTTTGGATTACGCCATCTCCCTCCCGTATTCTTCATTCTCTCTCAGAGTGGGGAGAGGTATTTGGAACATGTGCCTTCACCCTCATTCTTGTTGTAGAACTGGAAGAAATTACTGAGAGATCAAAGTTTCATTCTTTCCCCATGATAATAATAGTTTTTGTAACTAAATTTTTGCCTTTCAAAGTTTTATTAAACATTACATTGTGGGTCTCTATAAATTGGACAGAACTGAGGCCCCTCATTCCTGTAACCATTTTTTAGGATGGTAGGTTTGGTTTTCTTCACACATCTATATAATTTTAACAGTCCACAGGGAAAAGGTTTTTATTTTCAAGATAAATGCTAAGATTTGAAAATAAAAAGCAGAAACTGGTTTTCCAGTGAGAAAGGATTGTGTCAAATCGCTGAATTGCTCTTCGGAATGTCAAAGGTCAATGCTAAATTGCTCGGAATCGCCCAGCTCAGTGAAAACATAAGGTCATAGAAATACTCGCCAAATCTAGCCCACACTCTCTACCTCCTTTTCTCCCTTCCTCTTCTCTATTTTTAACCATTTCTGTCTCTCAGGGTCTTTTTGTGCTGCACGTTCTGGCTTCGTTTCCTGTCTGTGTTTCTGCCATCTTCATTCTTGATTTTCCTACCACCTTTTTTTTCACTGCAAATTATTAATTGTCAATTATTGAAGTGCTGGGCATTGTTTTAGGTGCTGTACATGGAATTTTTCTAATGCTTACCTTGCAATGTAGGTTGTTGGTCCCAATTTTTACAGATGAGAAAACCCAAGCTTAAAAAAAAAAAAACATCGCCATCGAGTCAATTCCGACTCATAGCGACCCTAGAAGACAGAGTAGAACTGCCTCATAGGGTTTCCAAGGAGTGGCTGGGTGATTCGAACTGCTGACCTTTTGGTTAGCAGCCGAGCTCTTAACCACTACGCCACCAGGGCTCCAAACCAAGCTTAGAGAGCTTAAAAAAAATAGATACTCAAGGTCCAAGACTGGTTAGTGTCAGGGGCTGGATTAAATCTTAGATTTATCTAACTCGAAAGTCAAAGCTAACTTCTGCTATGCCTTCTCCATCTCTCTCTTCCTCTCTCACTTCCTTTTTCCAATGACCGTAATTGCTTTCACTTAGCCAGCCATCATAATAAACTGTGTGTGTACCTACATATCACAATATTTTAATGGAAAAAAGATTCATGTTTTTACTAAGTTCAAAAGTGAGACAATTTCCCTTCCCTTCTTTTTCCTTCCTCAGAAACAAAGACAATGAAAGTTGTTCTTAAAATTTCCCTTTCCTTAAAAAAATCTGTGGGACCCCTGATTATCATTTTTTCATGGGTCAGTGGTTCTGGCTTGAATAAAACTACCCCCTTTGCCATTCATCAGCCACGTTTATTAAGCGCCCCCTATAGATAGAAGGCAGAATCAACTCGATGGCAATGGGTTTGATTTTTTTGTTTTGTTCTTTTTATAGATAGAAGAAAGTATTCAAACACTGAAGAAAAAAATAACCCCCAAACAAATGAAAACTATCCCCCACAGAGAAACCATCAATTTAATCAATGGTGTGGCCCTCCCTGTCCTCATTTTGGGGCTATTTTGTTCTGGCAAGTGGCTGAAGTGAATTATTTGATGTCTTTGCCATCTCCACGCTCCTGCTGTCAAGGCAACATGGCTGCCAGGGTGGAGGAATTCCCTTCTCAGTCATCCAAGTTCAAGTTCTAGGCAATACCCACCTTCTCCTGTTAGAAGGATCTAAAGAAGAAGGTCTGGCTGCAGGGGTAGGCTCCCAGGTGTCTTAGCATCAGGCACATTAAGGAGAGACCAGCCCTAAAGCAGGGAGCTCACAGACTCCCATGAGCGTATTCCATCTTAGGTCTCTGCGTCCCGACCTCTCTCAGAGTGAGGCAATACAACCTCAGCTAGAAAGACTGCTGCTTTCTCCCTTCACCAGACTAAAAAGCACAGTCTCTGGAAGTTAGCACACCAGCATTTCTGAGTGACGTATAAGAGAAGATGGGAAGTCAGCGTTTTCACTTTTAAAAATTGTCCATATCAGGACAAGTATTGGAAGGTTTTGGTGTTAAATGTGGGCATTAGATTTTTTATGGGTGCAATTTTAACTTTTTAAAACCATCCTTATTATTGTTTTCTGTTGGGGTGCGGGAGGGTGGTCGTTGTTTCATTGGTTTAGAAGAAAATACCTGCTTCCTGGGTCCCTGCATTGTTTTTCTTGTTGGCCATGTTAAATATCGACCTCCTGGAATCTACAAGTAGCCGGTAATATCCAGCTGTCAGGCAGGCCAGGTTCATGGCATCCGACGATTCCATCAGGAGCGTGATGGGCTACACAAAAGAGAACGTTTTGGTTAAAGCCATCCATCCATCCTTAATAACCTCTCTCAAATGTCAACAGCTGCATTTATGCTTATGAAACGTAAATAAAGGAAGTTAATGGGCAAACGCTTCATTGGAGAACCACAAATGAGGGTTAAACGTCAGACGTAACACAGAGAGCCTTACTGGAAAAACATTTAGGAGACGCCATTTTGAAAGCCTGGCCTTTTGAATCTCTTTCAAGTTATACTGGAATTAAAAAATCAAAACCAAAATCAAACAAAACATTTGCTGATTTCTAAATAGCTAGCATTTTAAAGAGGGACAGGTAAAGAGTCAGTTACCAGATGTGAGCTCGCAATCTGAAAATGACAAGGAAGATTAAGTTTGGAGCTCATGGTGAAAATTAGTGTTGACGAGAAGTAAAAATCAAGTGGAAATTGCTGCTATGACTAATAAACAGTGTCAAAGTGGTCCAGAAAGAAGATGTTTCTAAAATAATTGTAAATTCACAGGTGGGTAAAACAGAGATGGGCGTTGAGAAAAGGCCTTGATAAAACTTTCCGGAAACAATGTGGTCATCATATAATTGGACATGGATCTTGGGTGTACGGGGAAGGAAGTGTTTGACTGAAGCAATGATTTCCATTCAGTTAGGAAGAGTGGACTAGCTGGTGTGATCTTGCTGAAAAAGAGAGAAAGTGAGGGAGAAAAAAGGAAGGAAAAAAGGACAGACACCAAGTGAGGCACAGAAAATGTGAGGCAACAGGCCTCTCGTCTTCACTCCCAGGTGCAGTACACTGGCCAAGTTTAACACCCCGCCTGGTGGAATCTGATTCCCATCTAAAGCCCTGTACTGATTGCTGAGCTGCCTTTTCCTCCCACTTTAATAGAGGTCTGCCCTTGACCGCCAAGCCTCTCTAGCATCACACTCGTGGTGGTGCGGCCACCCAGGGTCCTTACATAAAGGCAAGAAACCATCAGGTCTCGTCACTCACTTCTGTTTGGGACAGATTACCCCCGTTATTGACTGCATCCAATTCATCCTTTCTTCTGTCCCTTTCCCATGATGGTCATGGACTTGGTGAGGTGTTCCAATCCTACTCTCTCACCTTCAGCTTGCTATGAGGTCAACTTCAGGCCCCCAGGTTCAACCTATGACATCCCATGGGCCACTGTTAAGATTTCTGGGCTCCACTTTCTCTCTCTCATGATCTATCTCTTCCTGATGTAGAGCATAGTCATGTTTTCTGATTTGCTTTCTAGAAAATCTTTCTATCCTCTATTACTCTTAATCCATTCCTCCCATACCACCCTGGTGGGCGTGGGGGTGGGGTGGCTCCCTCCTGGCTGATGTCTCCTTTGTGGAGTCACCATCTCCCTTCTGGTCCAGTGCCTTTTCTCCTGGATGCTAGTAGAAACATCAGCATACATTAAGGTAGCAACAGTCCAATGACTCCTCTACTCCTGGGGAAGAAGGTGTGGACAGGAGACCTGCATCATCTCCAGTCAACTTCTGTTTTGGGTGGAGAGTTTGCCCTTTGTGAAAAATTATAGATGGGTGCTTTAAATGGAACAATGTTTAAATGGAGTGCCCATGACATTCACAGCTGATGACATAGAGGCCATCGAGTCAATTCCAACTCATGGCAGCACCATATGTGTCAGAGTAGAACTGTGCTCCATAGAGTTTTCAGTGACTGATTTTTCTGAAGTGGATTGCCAGGCCTTTCTCCCAAGGTACTTCTGAATGGACTTGAACCTCCAACCTTTTCAGTTAGCAGCTGAGCACATGAACCGTTTGCATCACCCAGGGACTCTGGATGAGAAGACAGACTGACTAAAATAATCTGCTTTTACTGAAGGATAAACACACATGGACCAAACCTAACAAAAGGGAATAAGGATTCTAAACACAGTTGGGAAAAATTTCTCTGACTCTGTAGATATGATTCTTATATTCTACGAAGTGAGCTGGAAAAAATCTTTCCTACTCTATCTATACACAAGTATTCTAGAGCCAGAAGGGACCTTAGAGATGATCAAGCTTACCTTCTCATGTGTAGATGAAGAAACTGAGCCCAGAGAAGTACAGTAACTTGTCCGTAAATCCCGTGCTATTTAGTAAGGACTGGCGCCCTCAGGCCTGAGCTGGGTGCACTTTTTCTCTACAACCCTTGCAATTTTACCTGCTTTGTGAACATCAGCAGCATTATCAGAAATGAGCTGTCCAAACCAAGGTCATGCGTCAATACCCAAAAGACTTACCTTCACATCCAGCACATGGAGCTCCACCCTCACCAAGCTCTCGTCTTCGGTGAACATTTCGATCCTGTTGACATGGCTGAAGTCAGCTAAAAGAGCCACCAGATTGGTTTTGGTGTTGATGACATGGCTTATGCCATACCGGGGCCCAACCAGGAGAGTCACTTCTGAGCGCTTCTCTGCCTGCTGAGAAAGGGACGTTGACAAAATATATAAGCATACGAGACCTCTGAGGCAGCATGAAAGTTGACCTCGAGAGCCTGCTTGTCTAAGATTACATTTTCTTGATAAAGTATTTCTGGGTTATATCGTACTGTTGTTATTGCTGGGTGCTGTCAAGTCGATTCTGACTCATCGAGACCCTACAGGGGTAGGGTCTATATAGTAGAACTATATAGTAGAACTATATAGAAGAACTATATAGTAGACCTGCTCCATAAGGTTTCCTAGGCTGTAATCTTTACAGGAGCAGATCGTCAGGTCTTTTCTCCTGCAGAGCCGCTGAGTGGGTTCGAACTGCCGACCTTTCGGTTAGCAGCCGAGCCCTTAACAATTACGTCACTAGGGCTCCTGTTATGTTATACTAAATCATCCAGTTAGAAGACCCAGGTATCTGACTGCATTGAGGCTATGACACATCATGAATAATGTAGAAAGTTAGGGTTATCTTAGCACAGTGTATTTATAATCATGAGAGGCTCTTGGAAATGGGTTTTATTTTTGTTTTTTAACGTGAAATCATCTTTTGACTCAAAGATTTAAAAGAAGGCCTTTGTTAGAGTCCTTTGATTCTCTTGGTTCTTCACATTTCTTTTTCTAGGGCATTCAGCAGGGGCGCTAGCTAGTCTAACATTTCTTCTGAGATTCTCGGACCGTGGTGAAGTCGATTAGAAACACAGGCTGGAAAAGATTCACAGCTGATTTGCTTTTGTCATCAGAGGCGCTCATTCGAAGCAGCCTATGCAGTGACATTTTGCAGGCCTCCGTGGCTTCCGAGAAAAAGCAAGACGGTGAAATTACCACTAACGTTGCCTTGAACACGCGGCCCCCGTACAGTCGAAGGTCACTGAGGAACTTGAGGTAATGGACCTTGGCTTGCAGTGCAGAGAGCTGAGGAGAGAAAAGAAACCTCAGGTGTGAACTCCATTGGGTGCCATCAGGCTGGAGACCAGCTGAAAAAAAAAGGCAAGAGAAGGATGATTCTATCGCCGATGAGATGGGGCGTGACAAGGACCCTTCATTAGGAATGGAAGTAAACTGCTACGTATTTGGTTTCCTGATGAAGGGCTACAACATGACAGTCAGATTAAAATCGTATTTATTTGGGGAACTCTATAGAGGACTCCTAAGTATGGATGAAGGGCCAAGATACTCAACAACCAGGAACAAGAAGATAAAATGTTCCATGGAAACATCTGCTCCTTGGGAGATTTCAAGAGGTGACTGGTGCTTTCCTACTGCAATTAGGGACAAAGGTGGGCTTTACACAACTCCCAGAGCAGGGGGGACGCACCTGTATGCAAAGACTGCAGAAGCTGTTTTGAATACTAACACCTGCCATCTATGGAAAAGCCTTTCAATGGGCTCTTACACTTCCCCTCTCAAGTTTCTTCAAGTCATTGCAAGTTTTCAAGAAAAATGAGCTTTCTGAGCTCCGATCATTGTGGACAAGTTTGAACTTGCTATATAAGTCCCTGTATTATGAATTCAACTCCGAGAGGCTATTGAATTTCATGAATGCTTTACAAATGAAATTCTATCCAGATAAAAGTTATCTGTATAAAAACTTAACAATGTAGGCTCCTACATCATTAAAAAAAAAGTGCTTGATTAAAAAAACAATTGTCCATGTTTCACGGTGAATATGTCAGGAATGTTTATTAGCAGCAAACATTTCCAACAAGGTGTAGATCACCATTAAGTAGCACTGACTGTAAAATGCTGTCTTCAATCGCAGGTGAGTTGCCAACTCATGTGTTAACTGCACCTAAATGTACTGGTCTTTCTGTCATTGCTATTTAGCACCACTCATTGTTGCCGTTAGCTGCTATCTAGTCGTCGGCTCCGACTCATGGCGACCCCATGTATCACAGAATGAAATGTCGTCTACCCTATTTCTTTGAAAAACCCAAAGCACTTTGCAAATTGATTTGAAAGCAAACCATTCACTCTCGGCTCGAAAATGCAATCTTTACAGAAGGACAGTGATAGAGAGATAGATAGATGATAGATAGATAGATAGATTTTAAAGCAGTTATCCAAATTATTACAAAACCAACAGCCCAGGCTTGAACAAAATCCCAAGTCATTTACAAGAAATTAGCCTATGGGTAAATAAGAAAGGGAATTAAAAAAAAATCTCAATCCATGACTGCTCACTGTGATCCGAGGCATCATCCCCATGAAACTGGGAAGTCAAAGGTGGCTGACAGTGTGTTGAACTTGATGATACGTTAACAAAAGAAAGGCCATGGGGGTGAGGAGGAAATGCAAAAAGCCAGTAACAATGACTTAAAATCTGACACCAAGACCAAAGAATTATCTGGGTAAACAGTGATTAGTAGCACAATCCCCCAAAGCCTCCGTGGCTAATAGCAATTGAAGAGTGTTCTTGGGTTGTGGAGCAGCATCCAATTTTATAGGTCCAGTATTTTAAGGCTCCTTCTCTTTCCGCTTCCCGAAATGCTTTGCTTTTCGTTACCTATAAACCATACCTAGCTTTCTCTGCTGACCAACAGTGTATTTTCAAATGTTCTTTGTGTTTCTTGTACTTAATTTAAAAAAGGAGATTTTTAGCACTCATAATGGTGAATGAAGGAAACAAGTTGATCCTCCCCCCAAAAGTGTGCTTTAATTCAGTGGTTCTCAACCAAGGGTGACTTTAGCTCCCAGGGGACATTTGGAGATATTTTTGGTGGTCAAACCTGGCAGGGTGATACTGCTACCTAGTGGGTAGAGACCAGGGACGCGGCTAAACATCCTACAATCCACAGGAAAGCCCCCACTAAAAAGAATGATCTGACCCCAAATGTCACTAGTGCCAAGGCTAAGTAAGAAACCCTGGTTTAATTAATGTGGCATTTTGTCTGCAGGGACCCTTTAGTGTCTTCTGTGCATTTAAGCTGTCCTGAGTGGCAAGTGAGAGCATGATAACCCAAAAAACCCCACCTTTGTTGCGGTCGAGTCGATTCCAACTCATAGTGACCCTATAGGACAGAGGAGAACTGTCCCATAGGTTTTCCAAGGAGCGGCTGGTGGATTTGAACTGCCAACCTTTTGGTTAGCAGCCTAAGCTCTTAACCACTGCACCACCAGGGCTCTGAGAGCACGATGGAAACATAGAAATATCTTGCAATTCTGTCCTCTAATCAAAAAGTCTTAGAGGCTATACAAGCATTCTCCTGCTTGCACATAAACACACAGATGCCCAGTACAATCAGGAGTCCATAGCTCGCAAGAAAGAAAGATGTTTCCATAAGGATACTTTCTTTTCATTAGTCTTAGAAACATGTTAACAATTTAAAAAACTTATACAGCGTAACTGCTTCTGGAAATACAGTGTTAAGTATTTTATCCACAGGCTAATTTTAAACATTTTAAAAATGCATGCAAGTCTCTTTCTTCAACATCTATTTTCTATTAAGATGCAAATGCGATACCTTTTTACCCGGTGGTACCAAGTTTTGATTTGCTTTGACAAGGTGTGAAAGTGCTTTCTTTATGTTCTTCTCTTTCATGCTTTGCAGCACAGCAGAAGGAAGAAAAGTCTCCAATCCCCATTCTTTTCTGCAATAAAGAGCGCATCTTTAATTTTACATTCTTGCGATCATTAGTTATCTGAGACAAAATGGCGCTCTGATGTTTGTTGGAACAAATGAACCCTTGGTGAGGCAGGGAACACGGACAGGTCCCCAATTAGGGAACCAACTTTTAATTTACACTCAGAAAGCGTATTATTTGATCATTAACACATATGTTTGCATATAAAAAGAAATACATTCCTCACTCTCCTGAGAGAATGCTAACAAGGCATTGGGACCAATGGAAATTGAAGAGACACTTTGTCAAACCTACCTCTGAGTCTCTTATAATTTATACACCTATCTGAGTTTGTATTTCTGACACCAATTTCTCTCCATCCCTTTGTTTATGCCCACTCTCATCTCTCCCTGTCCCTGTGTTTCTGCGCATACACCGTCTTTCCCTTTTCTCTAGAAAGATGGATGCAACTCCTTTATGCCACCAAACCATTCTTCCTTCTCCCCCTCCCTCATCAATGGCTCTTCCCTTTCTTCCCAGTCAGTTCATGTCCGTCTAACTCCTTTCGTCAACATTTCTTGGAACAAATGCTTGGGGATGGTGGTGCTTCTGGAGTGGAGTCAAGAGTGTGGTTCATGACCCTACAGTACGGCTGGTACCGACAGAAGATGCAAACATCATTCATAGGTGTGGCCATATAAGAAACAAACCAACGAATGGGACTGGGTTGATATATTTTTCCAAGAGTCCATTTCCCCAGCAATGACTACTATGCTAAGAAGGTTACATATTTTGAATTCTAGAAAATCTATCCTTGTTTGTCATGTACCCAACCAGTGTCTTCCGAATTATCTTAAGACCTTTAAGAAGATTCTGGTTATTTCTCCTTTTCCAGGTCCTCCCCAGTTGACTATTCATGTTCTTCAGTAGTTAAGATGGTGTTTTTCCTGATCACTACGTTTTCTCCTCTTCACTCATTCTTATGGTCTCTACCCCTCATTTGGCACTCCTTGTGGGCTACCTTGTAATTCTACTTGTATCATTATTTTAAATCATGACTTCTCATAGCTGTATGTGTTGTCTTTACAACTAGATCACAAGTTCCTCAATGGTCAGGATGCTAATTTATACATATCAGCATTTTCTACTGTCCTAGTGGCAATACATATACTCAACATTTGTTGGGTGAATAAATTTAGTAATGAGAACATCATCACAGGCCCTGCAAGATTCCTAGTCAAGCTAGTTATCTCTGATAGGGCTTGTGTGTGTATGTGTGTGTGTGTGGTAAATATATACGTAACAAAACATTTGCTATTTCAACATTTCTCATACGTACAGTGCAGTGACGTTAACTTATGCTCATCGTGTTGTACGTCTGATAGGGTTGTGACTGTATCATATTCAACCTGGTAGAATGTGGGCACAGGAGGTAGGAAGGGAAATGCATTTTAATTGTCAGAAACTTGGCTTGGGTTGCTGGGCCACTTTTTCAAATGCCAGGAGTAAGTAAGTGGTGATTGCTTTAGGCTAGTCAATCACGTGCCAATGAAAAGCATGAAGACCGGGAGACAGAGTGAAGGCAAAGCAAACTGCTTTTTCTAAGAAGAGGGGATCTTCCCTGGCCAAAGAGGGATGCTGATGCTGTTAAATGGGGTCTAGCAAGAGAAGACATTCTCATCTTCCAAGCAACTTGTGATTCGCGAAGCAAAGTTTAATTGTGTGGCTTCCTTCTCCACTACTTCACGGTTCTTTACTACAAGTACCTTCCTTCTGCTTGGAGACTGACACGCTACTTTTTATGCTGCATTCTGATCACGTAAAAGTCATCTCAGGCTACGCAGACCACCTTTCAAACACAGGTGCTTCAACCAGTCGCACAAACGATAGCACAATGAGGAGTCACCCTGCCTGGCTTAGAATCTTGACCCTCTAGTTAACAGCTGTGTGACTCAGGTAAATTACTTAATCCTCCCGTGCCTCAGTTTACGCATCTGTAAAATAGACCTACAATGCTACTTCTATCATAGGGGTGTTTTGAGAATTAAACAGGCTAATGTCCGAAAAGCACATAAACCTACATTTGGCTTAGAACCAAGTCCCTTTTGGAATTTAAAAAATGTACACTGTGTTTTAAATATGACTCCCATTGTAACCACAACTCTCTAGAGGTGGATTCGGTAAGAAATGAATGAGAAAGCCACCTGAAATGAACATTATATTCATATAATTTGCTTCTGGTTTACAAACAGCCCACCACGAACAAGATCAACAATAAATTCTGGCATATGGCGCTGAGAGTCAACACTTACTCGATGTATTTGAGGGAAATTTTCTGCGTCTGCTTGGTGGTAACGGTGGCAATGTACATTTGTAACGCTGCCAGCCGCAGGGCAATGTCATATTTCAGCTCCGGCCCAAATCGCTCCTGAACGACGTCGTTGCAGCTCTGCGAAGAGACCAGCAGAGGGCGCAGCAAGTCAAAGAATGGGCTGGTGCCATGCTGCCTTAGAGGAACAGGTGACAAGCATTTTCCCCAGCGTTTCAACCTTCCCTTCAAAGGCAAGGAGGCTAAATGTGGAAACGTTTCCACTCGGCTGCTTGGAACTGAGTCGGTATTTAAATGCACAAACACAGGGACCACACAAAACATTTAACATTCATCCACGAGCTGCTATTTAAATATTTAGCTTTTCGTAAAAATAATTAGGAATTTGGGTATAAAATTTCCAAACACAGGTGCTGCAATTGAACACGAACACACAAACTATTGATAGCGCGATGTGGCTTCTGCTGTTAGGCTGCTGGGGTTGGACTCCTGGGTTCGAATCTCGTTCCTCCACTTCATAGGGACGTGACCTTGGGCAAGTCCCTTAATCGTTCTGTGCCTCAGTTTTCTCTTCTGTAAAACAGGGATAATACTGAATGGACTGCCAGAAGAACGAACAAATCTCTCTTGGAAGAAGTACAGCCAGAATGCTCCTTAGAAACGAGGATGGCGAGACTTCGTCTCACGTACTTTGGACATGTTGTCATCAGGAAGGACCAGATCCTGGAGAAGGACATCATGCTTGGTAAAGAAGAGGGTCAGTGAAAAAGAGGCAGACCCTCAACGAGATGGACTGACACAGTGGCTGCAACAACGGGCTCAAGCATAGCAACGATTGTGAGGATGGCGCAGGACCGGGCCGTGTTTTGTTCTGTTGTGCATGGGGTCGCTATGAGTCAGAACCGACTTGACGGCACCTAACAACAACAACAACAATTAATAAGGTCTGTGGTGAGGATGAACAGAGTTAACAATGGAAAGCCTTTAGAACGCTACCTGATAAGTTGTGAGCACTTGACACACGTTAGTTGCTGTCAGCATCAGCATCCTTATCCTCCTCCTCCTCCTTCTCCCTCCTCCTGGTTGTCATACAGAGAAGCTTCCAGGAGGAAGAATTAGCAAGGTGATGGAGCGCGGCAGCCCTGGAGGCACACCCACCCGCTTTGGAGTCCTGGCTTTGCCCATCACTACCTGTGTACCTAACCTTAGACCAGTTCACATCCACTCTTGCAGCCTCAGTTTACTCATCTGTACAGTGGGGATTCACACGAACTACCTCACTGGGGTGATGGGAGGGCTGGGCGAGATGTACATGAAGCGCTGTATCACAGTGCATCGGGACACTCGGTAAATGGTAGCTATTGAAACCCTCTGTTCATTCCAATGGCCTCTGCCCCTGCTTCTTCAAATGCAGGGCTTTGAGGGAGTCATTCCTGTCTCAGCCTTAGTTTGTTCACCTGTAAAAGGGTCAGTGAAAAAGAGGAAGACCCTCGACAAGATGGACTGACACAGTGGCTGCAACAATGGGCTCAAACACAGCAATGACTGTGAGGACGGCAGTGTTCCGTTCTGTTGTACACAGGGTCGCTAAGGGTGGGAACCGACTCGACAGCACCTAACAACAACAGCAAATGGGAGACACCTACCTCACAGGGTTTGTTGTGAGGCTCAACAGAGTGGATGAGGGTGTGTCTGTAAGTGTGAAGTCCTACATGAACACAGGGGTTGGTTTGAGAGTAGTGTTCTCATCCACTCACAGGTGCAAAGCTCGGAGCTGAACGTGGATGGGAAGCACAGCGTTGCTGAAGCATATTCTGCACGCGCGTTTGCTTAGTGCTGGTATGGGAGGCTGACTCTCGGGCTAGAAAATATGATACTTGGTCCCTTTCTCCCTTTCTCCTTTCCTTTATTCCTCGCCTTGTCCCAAGAAAGTTTCAAATGGAAAACTGTCTCAGGAGTTATTTGCTTCTTTTCTAAGAGAAGCATGTTTATGACCCCTTCATATATTGCTTTTACTAAAACGGGAGCAGGTGCCTCTGTTTGGTTTCCGCAGACAACATTCATCCTTTGCATCCCTAATACGGCCTTTCACGTCTGCTTCCCCTTAAAATCTTAAAGCTCTCTGGATAGCACGGTATCCTTTTTTGGAAGTGGGTCTGTCATGAGGCAGGAGATGGGGCCGCCTGAGTGAGGGCAACCATTTGTTTTGCCAGTCTTGGGTTTACCAGTCATGTCCCAGTGCCTGGGGTTGCCCAGAATGGGGCACCAAGAGGTTGATGGCCCAGGCAGGGTCATTTTATAAAGTCCTGTGAGGGATGGGGGACACTGTGCCAGGCCTGTAGCAGGCACTTGAGAAATCGCTTTTGTGAGAAATCATTTTTTGATAAATCGCTTTCTTCTCTGACTGCTACTGCAGGATGGATTTAAAAGAGAATTTTAGCAGAGAATTTAGAGGCAAAAGCTCCAAGCTGGACTCTAGGTTCTGATACATACTAATCAAGTGGCCTTGGACATGGCATTTCGTCTCTCCTGAGTCTCAGTTTGCTCGTCTGAGAAATAAGATAACAACCAACTCACAAGGTTGCTGTGACACCTGCAAGGATGCTTCATCGCATGGAACGTGCTTTCTAAAGGTGAGTCATCACCGTCCCTTCTCCTAAGAGTTGCGGCTGGGACAGTTCTTCCCCATTCCTGTTATAACCCGTATTTAACCAGACTGCTGGATGAAATTTTTGACAAGGTGATTAGTCAGCTAATTACATGATGTGATTAGTTCAGACTGATCCTGGAGAATTCGTGTGAAGTCTGAATTGTATATATATACATACACACTTAGTATTAATCATGCTTTTATTACTCTCAAGTACATTTCTTAAAATACAGTTCCACAAGCCAATGGTAGTCACTGTTTTGCTAAATAGACGTCCCAGTAGGATCCTCTTTAAACCTGGAGAAAGCTCATTTACAATTAACATGTTCCATGTTACAAAGGAAATCAATACTACTAAAGGGTTTGAAAACATTTTGTAGCCTCTTAGGTATCATCCTGCCTACTAATTGGCATAACAATCTCTTTCTTAATAGATAGTGGAAAGGTTGATGGCCACACGGCCCATTCAAATTATGAATTAGAACAGTCTGGATTACTAGGATTTACTGCTAATACATATGTTAAAGTCTGTGAACTACCTCATGGACCATTAATGACTCGGAGGTTAGTACATGTTATTACTCTTGAAACGGGTTTTCATCTTCATGGTTCACCTCATTAGAAGCCCAGTAGATTCGATTGGTTTTTGTCTTTGTAATGTGATATATATTGCTTCTGCTTACTCTTTTGTTCTCTTAGCTTACTATTCTTATTGCATCTTTTTAGCATCTTAAAAGCAACAGGAGGACACAGGCATCGTTTGCAGATCTGTAGACTTATATTATTGGTCATTCCTTATAACGTTATTCTAGACATACCGTGCACTCTGTGATAGAAGGAAGGCATTTAGAAATAGAGAGTCTGAGGCAAAGAAATTCTCATTTCATACTCGCAGTGGACCACTGCTAGTGGTGGATATATAAGATGACAGTAGCTTTATTTTGGTCTCTGTCACCCACCATCCATGGCTTTCCATTTCCCTCCCTGGCTACTCCTTGAGGAGGTGGCTAGTCCACCCGTCATGCAGCCCCCGAGGTGGGGAAGCAGAAATATCATCAGTCTTCTTCTGCTAGTCCCTAGGCAAGATTCCCGGACAGGTTTTCCTATTCTGAAAACAGTCTCTCAGGTATAAAAGATAATGTCTTTTGGATAAGAGAAATCTCTATAAATTGTATTAGATTGGAGCAAACACACCTCAAGCAGCACCGTGCTTAGCAGTACTCCTTGTGTACTTTAGAGGTCACCCCTCCCCAAGACAAACACAACCGCACTCTTCTTTTAAAATTGTGATGGACTTGTGATGTTTCAAACAGAAGCAGGGTAAAATGGTTTTAAAGCATCATCCTGTTCAAGGGATGGGCATATAATTATAGAGAACGGCAGTCGAACACATCTCACGGTCTCCAGTCTCACGCTGACTGACACCTATAACTATCTGCAGCTACCAAGCTAATCAGCATAGAAGACGGGTCTGAGCTGCACTGGAAAGCCTTGGGTTGGTTCTGGGTCGAATGTGGGGAACATGCATCAGTAGATCAGCCGTGAATCACGCCTTCACGTCTGGGTTACCTGGCCCGTTGGAGAACAGGGGATACTGTAGACAAGTGAGGGGTCCAGGTGGCCAAAGTCGAACACTAGGAACCCAAATCATGACAGTTTCACTGTTCTTGGTGGAAAACTTTCTAAAGAGTATTACACGTTTCTTTACTTGCTAAGCAAGGAGTACTGAAGAGGATTTGCGTTTTTGTGAGGACTCAGGGTGATCTTCACGAACATTTGTCATCCTACTGAGCTGTAAATACCACAGTCCCTTCGGAAATTGAACCAGCCTTTTCCTGAGTGCCCCCATCCTCTGGAATGTTCTAGGAGGTTCTGGTTTCTTCTTATTGGACTAAATTTCTGTTCTCCAGGGCTTACTGACGCTTGAATTTATATTACCGTTCCTAACCTCTCACATCTCTTGTCTGCATCTCGCTTCCATCTTTTATCTACTTTCTTCTCCCACCCCACTTTTTAGAGATTACAAAAGCTTTCAAATCTACCAGAAAATATTAAAAACAGTAAAACAAATATCAGTGTACTAACTACCCAGAGTTAACAATGTTTCTCTTGTCTTTTTCCTATTTCTTTCTCACTTATGCCCAGCCAAAGAGAGTACGTCATTTCTTTTTTGTTTTGGCCTCACTTTTGTCTTTTCTCTTTCTTTTTGTGGGGGGCGGGGGTTACATTTAAGTTGACGACCTTTTCTGAGTAGTTCTAATGCTAGATATTTAAGCATTAGGTAAATGGGCTCTTACTGTTTCATGGGACTATACTCGAAATTTAAGTGAGAGTAATGGGAAGTAGCTTTAGAAAAATATAGGAACATCTCCTAAAGATCAAATTGGATAAACTTCATTTGAGACAAACTCTGCCAAATACTCATTCCTGGAAGCCTCAATTTCTGAGAATTATATCCCAGAATCAGATATAGACGTAGTCTGCAAAGTCTTACCTTCTTAGAGTCTTATCTCCTTGAAATGAATAATTCCAGCATAATAATATCACAATATTTCAGAACAATCTAAGCACAAATAAATAAATGAATGAATAAGTAAATAAAGGAGAGGGAAAACTTGTTCTTACAGTTGAATGCTAATTCATAAATGAAGGAGAAATCACGGAATTAGAAAATTCATTTTTCAGCCATCATAATAATAATGGATTTAGGCAAGAATCATCTATGAGCACGAAAACCAGTGGCTGAACGTTTGATGAGACGCAGGATAATGAGACAGTTGCAATGCGACTCTTCACAAATTATGTATTAATTATAAATGCAAAAGTAGTAACTTCAGAATGGAGACATTTGGAGGAAACCGCCTTAACCAAGGGTTAAAGTTAACTTTGCCATTAAGGGGACAAACTGACATCATGTGCCTCTTGACAAAATCACCCATGTCGTTCTCCTGCCAAAACTGTGTCATCTCAATCTATTCATGAGAAAACATCAGAGGCACCCAAACTGAGAGACTTCTACAAAACAACTGATCAGTGCTCCTCAGAACTGTCAAGGTCATGAAAGTCAAAGAAAGGCTGAGGAATGTTCTAGAAGACTAAGGAGACATGACAACTACATGCAAACTGAGATTCTGGAGTGAATCTTGTTCTAGAACAAAACTGATACAAAGAACATTGTTGAGACAATTGATAAAATTTGGATATGGACTGTAGAGCAGATAATGGTAATCCATCAACGCTGAGTTTCTTGATTTTGTTCTTTGTACAAAGGTTACATTAAAATGCCCTTGTTATTAGGAGATACACACTGAAGCATTTATGGGTAAAGGGGCAGGATTTGTGCAACTGACTTTCATATGGTTCAGAAAAATACATATATATGTACATGTATACATGTATTACATATATACACATATATATTTATATATAAAATGTGTGCGTGAGAAAGAACTTTTGCACACACTAAACATAAATTTAATGTAGTTAAATGGGTGATGGGTTTTTGTAATACTCTTGCAACGTTTCTGTAAGCCTGAGATTATTTCAAAATAAAAAGTAAAAATTAAAAGAGCACCACAGAATCATCTTGTAATACCTTACGCTTGAGTGACAAAGAGAAAGAAGACCCTGAATTAAAGAATTCAGGAAAAAAATGAAAGTTAATCTAACCCACATTAAATATAAAGCATGCCAAGATTTTCACATACCTGAACATAGAGATACTCGAAAGCAACTGGGTCTCTCCTTAAAAGGTCAATCGGGTCCTTTGGGACAAAGCTTATTCGGAAAAGACACCTCATCTTGTGGGAGCTGGGCCTCTGTGTCACCTAGACCAATCAGACAAGAACCTTTCAGTGCTGACTGAAGAATGGCGGAGGGACACAGAAGCAAAGGCAACTTCCTCTGGACACGGGGCACTGGAGGTTCTTGGAGTATTTACCACAGATACTCATTCTCTGAAAGCTGCCCATACCTTGTGACTTAGGCTGGGCTCCCCTGAGGCAGACCTTGAGACAAGGGTTTGTGTGCAAGGGGTTTACTGCTCCCAGGAGAGGCCAGTAAGGGACAGGGGAAGCAGGTCTGGGAAGGAGAGGAAGCCAAGCAAGGAGGTGATCTCAGGGGAGCCCAGCAGAGGCTAGTTAATGGCCTGATCCCGCAGGGGACTCCGGAGTGTAAGTTACACCACACAGCTGCCAAGACCGGAGCCAAAGGAGCACTCATTAGGCATTGGTTTAGGGTTGTCCCCTCTCTCCCCCCAAAATCAAACCCATTGCCATTGAGTTGATTCTGACTCATGGTGACCCCATGTGCTACAGAGTAGAACTGCTCCATAGGGTTTTCTTGCAGATTGCCAGGCCTTTCTTCCATGGCACCCCTGGGTGGGTTTGAACTGCCAACCTTTAGGTTAGTAGACAAGCGCAAACCATTTAGGGCTGTCCCAGGGGACACAGATTTCCAGGTGTGGGCAAATGGGCTCCAGTTGCCTGAGGGCAGACCTCTGAAAAAGATCTACAGGGGTGGTTGCTGGAAGTGCGAGCTTGACTAAAGTCAAGGGGAGGGGAGCGAGGGAGCACACAAAAGGGATCCAAGGGGAGGGCACAGCATTGTGTCCCACTGCAGTGTTTTTTCTAAATCAGACTGCAGACTGACTGTAGCGATGGAAGCGCGGTCGTGCTGCCCTTGGATGACACGTCATTGGAAAGGAGGAAGACAGAAACTTTGGCCTATGCACTACATCTGGGGTCCAAAAGTTTCCAAACTGCCCCAAACTCCTGATATAATGGTGTGACAACGATAACTTTCAAAGTGTTCCAAGGCGCTTCGATGACACCACAGGTTCGCAACTAATCAATGCTGAGTGGAATGCTAAATTCACAGTGAAATAAGAGAAGTACCAAAGACACCCACTTTGTCCCATACAAAATACACAAATTCGTTTTGGCAAATAAATTAATGTAATGCAAAACAGTGCTTCAGGCTCATTAGAAATGGTAGTCCATAAAAATAATAACAGTCTCTAAAAAATAAACAAATAATTTCTTGGAAACTTTAAGTGTTATGTAAATAGACCATGGTATTTTCTAGACAGATTTTTAGTATCAAGCCACCAGAAATTCAGGTAGAGTTGCTGAAAAGTCCCTTTAGGTGTTTTCATCGGAATTAAATGCTTTAAAATGACTTTTGTTATTGGACAAATTATAACTTCTTCTACTTACTGCCTACCCCTTTCCATCATGCCTATAAATATTCTTTTGATTGAATTTTTTATACGCCTTGATTTCAAAGGCATACAGCTGTTTTGTTTCAGGACATTCAAATCATTTTTCTTTTCTAGAGATAATACTTGAGGTTTAGCAATTTGATTTTGCTCCTGATTCTAAAAAAGTCTCCCCTAAGGAGGATAAGGGGAGAATCACTGTTCAAGATCTTTTGTTTCCTTCTAACATTTTAAAAGAGATTTAAACACTAGAAATCAATCTGGGATGAGAAGTTATGGTTACCTAGCACCAGAAGAGACTTTTAAAGAATTTTCGTCCAAGTATATCACCATGAAGCTTTCCCGTAAAAGATATGTCGTAGATGGAAGTTCATAGGGAAAGTCTAGCCAGAAATATCAAAAGCTTGTGAAAATCTATTACGTTAAATATAGGTTGGGGTTTTGTTGGATTCATAGTGACGGGCTGTTGGTGCTCTGCTCACATCCCCTTCGTGTTTATAGTTACAAGTTGAAGGTTATTTACTGCAAATACCTGTCATTGTCTGCCAGCACAATGCAGTTCTGAATAGTCAGGGAGGAACTGTCCTTGGCCACCACCTGTCAGTCATTTTGTTGTGCTGTGGTGACTTGCATGTTGCTGTGATGCTGGAAGCTATGCCACTGGTATTTCAAATACCAGTAGGGTCACCCATGGTGGATAGGTTTCAGAAGAGCTTCTAGACTAAGACAGACTAAGAAAAAAGGCCTCGTGATCTACTTTCAAAATTTAGCCAATGAAAACTCTATGGATCACAACAGCATATCGTCCAATATAGTGCTAGAAAATGAGTCCTCTAGGTTGGAAGGCACTGCAATAGACACAACAATGGACTCAAACATACTGACCATCATGAAGATGGTGCAGGGCTGGGCAACGTTCCCTTCTGTTGTACATGGGGTCATCATTGAGTCGGAGCTGATTCAACAGCAACTAACAACTGTCCTTGGGAACAGCCCACAACCAGTCATGGACAGCCTGTTGGTGGATGAACGTCTCAGCTCCCTCACGCCTTGGTTGGGACAGCTCTGAGGTGTGTTCTACATTGTCTCCCACTGTTCCCCAGTAGCATGGAACTCCAGCTGCCCACAGTGGAAACTGGCTTGACCACACACTCTTCAGTGGGCTTCCCAGTTTTTCTCATCTCCCTTTCCAACTCCCCTGATGGTGTCTCCCAAGATCTCCTCCCAAATGAACCACTTGCATTTGAATCCTTGTCTCGAGGTCCGCCTCCAGGGAACTTAGGCCCAGACACTGACCTTTCACCTGAGAGATTCTGTATGTCAGGGGTTATTCCCCTGTAATGAAGCATAAAGGAGCCCTGGTGGTGCAGTGGTTAAGTGCTCAGCTGCGAACCAAAAGGTCGGTGGTTCAAACCCACCAGCCGCTCCTTGGAAACCCTATGGGGTAGTTCTATTCTGTCAGTAGAGTCACTATGAGTCAGAATCGACTCGACAGCAACAGATTTCTTTTTTTTTTTTTAATGAAGCATAAAACAAGTCATCTACTTCCAAGTATATTTTGTCACAGGTTAAAATAATAATCATTAGAAGTGATTTATAAACCAAAAACCAAACCAGTTGCCATCAAGCTGATTCCAACTCATGGCGACCCCATGTGTTTCAGAGTAGAACTGTGCTCCATAGGGTTTACAATGGTTGTGACCTTTTGGAAGCAGGTGACCAAGCCTTTCTTCCGAGGTGCCTCTGGGTGGATTCGAACCACCAACCTTTTGGTTAGTGGCCGAATGCTTAACCATTTGTGCTACCCAGGGACTCCCAAAATACGTACAGGTCGATTTAAACCTGATAAAAATAATACGTCCAATTTACAGGAATAAACATCAACACAAATGACAACTTTCTAACTAATTTATTACACTGAGTTGGGCTAAGTCAAGAGCGTTGGGATACCTGATGTGTAGGATACCACCTTTTAATTATAGACAACCTAGAAGCACTTTGGTGTGATGACACTTTCTGCCTCTCCATGAGTATGGTGGTGTCTTGACTCCCAGCCTTACCTTCTGGTGTCCCCTCGTGGCCCTTCCTTAAAGTTCCCTCTCCTGAACTCTCCTACCTACGAGGAATTTGTTGAAATCCCAACAAAGACTCTGCTTGTGTGGAGTCACAAGGACACCCACAGCGGGAGGGCTGTGCTGAATTCAGCCGCCAAGCAGCCTGCCTGTCTCCCCAGGAAACAGATGGGGGTGGCATCTTGGTAACTAGGAACTGGGACACATTGGTAGATCACATATTTCTAGTGGGTAGGACTGGGGCAGGGATTTTAGGCTTCCAAAAATAGTCTCAGTACGTACCCAGAATGTATAACAACTAGATACAATTTCAGCTTAATTTAAATAATCTCAGAACTATTTCTTCGTAGTGGTTTCAAGAGATCAACTTTTAAACCAGGCGAACAAGTCATTGCAAGAACATAAAATATAATTCTCCAGAGCCATATTCCCAGTGAGTAGCTGCCGAATCTTTGAATGACAAATGTGTTTATGAGACCAACTGCCAGTCTATGAAAGATGGACAAAATGGGAAACATCACCTTGAGGTGTAAAATCCTTTATGGATTCCGGTGCTTCCCTTGGTGGGGATACAGGCAGGCAGCTAATTCAGTTAAAGACTAGAAGGCAGGGGAATTCTGGGGTGGGGTGACCTCTGCTCTTTCTAGCAGCAGATCATTTCAGAGTATAATTTCACAGACCTGAGTTAGGGTCTCCTGTTCATGAAGCAAAAGCAGCTTGGTCCCGGCCCCTTCCGTCCTCTGCTCCAGCATGAGGGAGAAGTGTTCGATGCCCTTGATGGAGAGTTTCTCTTGAAGGGTTAAGATGACATCCTTACAGAGGAAACATTGACAAGATGTGATCAAAATCAAGGTGGCCCTCTTGTTGAGTCTATCATGACCAGAAAGTGTAGCACATGAAGGTTTCCAATGTTTAAATTGTATACCTTTGGTTGATTCTGAAGATTGATGCTCTGGGGATCCAAAAAGATTCAAAAACGAGAATCTTTCTTCCCTTGCCCTTTTCCTGGCCTCCCTCACCACCCAAAATCTTTATGGACTTCAGGAACAGGACGCAACAAGGCAAATAGAGACGGAGCTTACCTATCACTTAAGGTCCTACATTAGAAAGGCGACAGTAAGCTGTGTAGTGTAGCTAGTTCCATTCTCCTTTTTTCTAAATGGGTTGGCACTCAAACCAGCTTTGAAAGTGGTCGACTTTAAGGGTTGGTAAACTACAGCCCCTGGGCCAAACACAGTCCGTCACTTGCTTTTGTAAATAAAGTTTTACTGAACACAGCCACGCCCATTTGTTTACAGATTGTCTACGGCTGCTTTCAGGTTACAACAGCAGAGATGAGTAGTTGTAATGGAGACCGTATAACCCACAAAGTCTAAAATATTTACTATCTGGTCCTTTACAGAAAACGTTTGCTGACCCCCAGGTCTACCTTCCGTAAGAGAAGTATGGTAGTGGTTAAGAATATGGGCTCTGGAAAGAGAACAGCTGGTTTCTAATCCCAGCTCTACTGCTTATTAGGAGTGCAGCTTTGGGCAAGTTATTTAACCTCTCTGTAACTTAGTTTCCCCTTCTGTAAACTAGGGATAATAATAATCCCTGCATCCGAATGGACATAAGGATTAAATGAGTGAACACTGAGTAAGCATTCCTTACAACACTCTGTTGGCCCTGAGTTAGGGCACCATTAGCTTTTATCTTAAATCTCTGGAAGGTGGAATGAGTCTGCAATCTTTTGCAGGATTAAATATTTATGATCAAAAAGTTGTTAAACACACACACACACACACACACTATAATGCAAAACTAATCTCCTCAACCTTTACTTTTTTCATGTACTTGAAAATTAGTAACTGATCCTTCAGTCTTCTTCAAGATAGTTTATCCTCAGATGCTAACAGATATTACAGCAGTGGTTCTCAACTGGGGGCAATTTTGCCACACAGTGACATTTGGTAATTTCCGGAGACATTTTTGGTTGTCACAATTCGGGGAAGGGGTGCTACTGGCAACTAGTGGGTGGAGACCAGGGATGCTGCTAAACATCCCACAGTGCACAGGACAAACCCCCACAGCAAAGAGTGATCCGGCCCCAAATGCCAATAGTGCCGATTACTCTAATGTTTTGATTCTTCTCTGCGGACCTCTTCCAATTTCTTCAGGCCTCCTTAACCACCGCCCCGCCCCGCCCCCCGCCCACAAAAACACTCAACATAAATGCTTTCACTGTGTTGAATTTCAAACAAAAAAAGATTCTTTGCTTCATAGTTTTTGCTCAAGGCCCAGGGAAGAGAAAACAGAGGCAGTCCTTTGTGTGGCAATATGTACTTTATAAAACATTCTCCTGAATCACCAGGGAAGACACCAGAAAATCAATAGCGGTAGTTTTTCTCTGTTTGGATTCTGTAGTAGGAATTTGGGCATTTTTTATTAAACAGTGTTACAGCTGTCTCATAACTATACCGTTTTTATTTTACACCTGTCCTTCTGTGTCTAGTGTGATAATCAGCTGCTAGGGTACCAGATAAGATCACTTTAATTTGATCTGAACTCTTTGCATTGCTCCCTGTCATCTCACTGCCGTCTGCAATCCTCAGGGACATCAAACTTAGTCTAGTGTGGATTCCAATCATAAAGAGTGCAGAGGAATTAACACAGGGCTCTCTTTCAAACTTAGATTTATTTCTGTTAAGAAATCGGTTCAACAGAATTTCAAATTCTCATGGACTCCAGACTTTCTGGAGCCACTGAGGCTAGATAAACCCCTGAAACTACTGGCCTGAGATAATCTTTAAACCTTAAACCAAAAATATCCCCTGAAGTCTTCTTTAAACCAAACAATAGTTTAGCTTAGCTAGTAAACAATGCCTGCCTTGAGCATTGTGCTCTTTTAAGAGCTATCTGTACGGGATCTAATTGACAACAGTAACTTGAAACAGATCGGAAGCTTAGGGGGCAGTGAGTTCATGTAAATGGTGGAGGCAGGGACGGATTACTCAATAAGCAAGGTACACACAGGCTTCCTTGTGCTTACTTACTAATCTGTAGTGTACAATTTCACCTGTTTTTCACCACATCAAAGATGTAAATAAACACAAGCAAGCCTGTGTGTACCTTGCTTACTGGTTAATCTGCCCTGGCAGGAAAAATTGGGAAAAAGAGGGTGAGATTAGTTTCATAACTTGAAGAATGTCATCAATGTTACTAAATTGTACATGTAGAAACTGTTGGATTGGTGTATGTTTTGCTTTGTATGTTTTCAACAACAACAAAAATAAATTATTTAGAAAAGAAAGAAATATGCTCAAATGTTAAGCTATATCTTCAGGTCAGGTAGGAAGTCCAACAGCAAGGAGCTTTCCTGACCAACAAGTAACAGAGAACCAGGCAACAGTGTCAGAGGGAGTTGTAATAATGTAGTTCTGTGAGTTAGTTCAGAGCCCTGGTGGCACAGTGGTTAAGAGTTTGGCTGTTAACCAAAAGGTCAGCAGTTCAAATCCACCAGCCGCTTCTTGGAAGCTCTATGGGGCAGTTCTACTCTGTCCTATAGGGTCACTCTGAGTCGGAATCGACTGGATGGTAATAGGTTTGGTTTTTGGTCCTGGTGGGTTGGTTCAGGGGTAGGCAAACTATGGCCCTCGGGACATATCTGGCCACGCCCACCATTTACATATTGTCTATGGCTGCTTTCATGATACAACAACAGAGTAATTCCAACAGAGACCGTATAGCCTGCAAAGCCTAAATATTTACTATCTGGCCTCTTCTAGAAAAAATTTGCTGCTCCCTGAGTTGGCTGATCAATAATTGGTTTAACACCTCACCATAAGCTGATATTGAGTAGAAAAAAAGGAAAAGGACTTTTTCAGTCATCACCACGTAAAATCAGCAGTCTTGTAGGAGGGAAGTTAATATTTCATCTAGAATGATTTAAGGATGATTTCAATGATCCATCATCAACCTGCTTATATTGTCTGCTCCAGTACCTGCTCAATCACTACACATTTAAAGCAATTCAAAACAAGCTGCTTGCTGGTATCATGACAATAAGAACGCACAGCCAAAGGGCCTTTGCAGAAATGCTTCCATACAAAAGTCTATGCTGATTAATTTTTAAAAACTAAGAACTGGGGGTTGATCATTCGGAGCCATTTTTAACACAGAGTCAAACGTCTCTTGAGAGATTACTGTAGAGATCATCATAAGGTGCCTTTTTTCCCTGCATACAATCTTTTTTACTGTGCCATTTGAAAAGGCCCTATTTTAGGTTGATGGGGCATCAGGGAACAATCCATTTCTGAACACACTTTTGTCTAATGAAAACGAGAATATGCACTCTTTTTTCCCAAGGAGGAAGCATAGGGAAAAGAAACCCATCTGCTCTGACTCAACACTCATGATTTCAAACTCACCTGTGGCTTGGAACGACTAGGATTGCTTTGTGACTCTTCCCTCCCATCCTCCTCCTAAGAAGCATGCCTCATTTCTGCCTTTTTCTGCATCATTTCCATGAAACTGGTTACAGCAATTAAAAGTAAGTGTTATCTTTACGTTATTCTTTCCCTTGTTTTTGCTGGACACCAAAGTAGCAGCTATTCAATTAACAGCTAACGTCTTAATCTTCCTGGTGGCTGACTTTGCTGAGAAATCATGCTGGCTTTGGGCAAGATGCCAAGCCTTCTTGGTGACAGTCACACGACTTTAATTAATCTGCAGGGGCATTAATGACTGGCCCTAGTGTTTCTTTACTGATAGCATATTACAGTAAAACCTTCGAAAGCCGGAACCTGCGTAAGGAGGAAACCCGTCAGAGAAGCGAGACCCGGAAAAACAAGGCAGCCCCGTCAAGTTCCGGCTCTCACGGTTTTCACCGTATGTTGCTCCGCGACACCAAAAAACAAAGAGCAGAAACTTCTTGGTTTAAGCTTTCTTGTTGTTGTTGTTGTTTTTTAAATTATTAGTACGCTACCTTATATGGAAGCAACCAGCGAAATCTCAGAAAAACGGACAGTTCCGGAGGAAGCTCCTGCCACACGCAGTACCTGGCGCCCCTTCGGTTACAGAGCTTAGCAACTCATCTTACCTTTATGGAGGTGCTGCAGTCAAAACGGAATGATTTGGTCTGCCCGTTTTCCAGATAGACTTTCAAAACATTTGGCATAAAAAGAAGTGAATTGTCCTTAACTGTTTCCTGTTTAATAAAAAAAGGGGGAGGAATGTAATTCATCAAATGAGAATTCTGCTCTTTGCTGTAGCAACTCTTATCTACAGTTATTCTAATCGGGGCAGAAAAAAACAATCAAACTCTTTATGGCCAATCACAGTATCCCTTTGGTGATACCTGCGTTAAGTTGTTCATGGCACAAATTATTATTTTCTAGCTACAAATGGCTCAGCTGATTCAAATAAAATGCATTAGCACATCAGAAAATCAATCAGACCAGTTTTTCTTTTTTTTTTAAACTCAAGATTCCCCGTTGGTAAACCCGATTACAGAAATAATTCCTTTGTAATTAAGCCACAATATTTGGAGCTACCAGCCCTGATGTTGGCTGAGCAGATGTCTTGAAGAGAGTGAGGCCTGGCAATGATGACATTTGACGGGAGGTCTGTTGGTGCCCAACTTCAAGTGTCAAGTTCTTACATAAAACTATTTTTAACCTATTTAGACATGTTCGTTGAACTCGAAGGGAAAATATATGGAGTGGGTATGTGTGTTACAATAGAGTAAAACATAATGTCTATGACAAACAGTCCATGATTTAGAAATAACACATACACACCCAAACACAAAGAGATGCCAGCTTGAAACATGATCAAAAGTAAACAATAGAAACATATTCCTTTGAATTCTCTCTCTTTAATTGGAAGAAATGAGAGACGGGAGTCCCTGGGCGGTGCGGACGGTTAATGTGCTTGACCGCTAACTGAAAAGCTGGACGTTGGAGTTCACCTAGGGGCACCTTGTAAGAAAGGTCTGGCGATCTACTTCTGAAAACCAGCCACTGAAAAATCACATGGAGCGAAGTTCTGCTGGTACACACAGGGTCACCATGAGTCAGAGTTGACTCAAGGACAACTGGATTAGTGAGAGATGAGAGAGTTGAAAGGGCAGAGAAAGAGGGCACATTTCAATGAGGTCCATGGATTCTTGGAGTGAACTGTTATTCACATGTAGTTGGTCACAAAGTCACAGGAGTCAAGGGAAACTCAGCAATCATGAAACACTACACCCCTTGTTTTACAGATGAGGAAACTGAAGTTACAAAAGCATCAGAGATTTGCCAGTATCTTACAGGTAGTCCTTGAGATTTCAATTCCAAGTTTTTCCACAACAGGCTCCTTTCCTTTCCTATTTCTTTCTCTGATTTTCTTCCCCCTTCTTTCCACTCCTGTGGATTTCCTATATGATTTTCCTACTACCCAATTCATTGAATAAGTTTGGATCCAAGTCCAGAAGAAATGGCACACAGTGACTTAGGAGAGCAAGAGGAGACTGGAAATGAAGATGGTCCCAAAGGTTGAGGAGCAAATTTGCTGCCAGACACAGGCCTGTGGTGAGGCTGTGGGGCTGGAGGAGGTGATCGACCCCAAGACCTCATGACCGGCTACCTCGAACAAAAACCCGTTGTTGTGGAGTTGATTTCAACTCATAGAGACCCTACAGGACATAGTAGAACTGCCCCGTGGGGGTTCCAAGGCTGTAAATCCTTACAGAAGCAGACTGCCACATCTCCCCTAGAGCGGCTGGTGAGTTCCGACCACCTACCTACCTTTTGGTTAGCAGCCGAGCACCTAACCACTATGCCACCAGGGCTCCTTTACCTTGAACAGGCCCTGCTATATTCAACAACGAATTGAAACTGCCACAGCAGCTTCTAGAATCCTGTTCTCTCTAAAGATGCATAGACTTCCTGGCCACCCAATCTTATCCTGGGAAGCTCCAGGCAGAACAGGAAACGTAAGTTTCAGATGAGCTTCTGTGGTATATTGATGCTCAAGGCAAGCTTCCTCTGTGAACGGAACCTTCCAGCCTTAAACTGGGACAGTCTTCTTGCAAATCATTGGTAACTCTGCATCCAGAATGACGGGGATCTACTGAGCTGAGCAGGACAGATCATGATGTGAAAGAGGCCCTAAGTGGTGTGTAGGGTGGGAGATGGAGATTGAGAGGACAAGGCTGTGACTAAAACGCTCACAGGGCAGCATAGTGACATCCTCGGGCCCTGACCCAGGAACATTATAATTGTTCGACAGATTGGCCTGTTAACTCCCTGGAGACCAAGTGGGGCAGACCCAGGACAGTAAGTTTTGACTAGAAGACACTTGGACCATGAGTGGGTGAACTGAGGGTTGAACTGTGTCCCTCAAAAAAGATACGGTGAAGTCCTAAGCCCCAGTACCTGGGAATGTGCCCTCATGTAGAAATAGGGTCTTTGTAGATGCTATCAGTTAAGATGAGGTCATACACGAGTAGGGTGGTCACTAATCCAGTATGACCAGTGTCTTTATGAAAAAAGAAGAAGAGACACAGACAGAGAGAGACACTGAGGAAGAACTCCATGTGAAATTGGAGGCAGGGATTGAAATTGTGCTGCCACAAGCCAAGGAACACCTGGGGCTACCAGAAGCTGGAAGAGACAAGGAAGGATCTTCCCTAGAGTCTTCGGAGAGAGCATGGCCATCTCTACAACCTGAATTCAGACTTCTAGTCTCCAGGGCTGGGAGACAATAAATTTCTGTTGTTTGAAGTCACTCAGGAAATGAATACAACGGACAAGCCCACATCTTCAAATTCAAATCCAGGAGCAACCCCAGCACAGAATCTGTGACCCATAATGAACTTACCAAGGATGAGATTTTATCCATAGGAGTTTATTTAAAACAACAACAACAAAATTGAGCATTTCAAGGAGTCAGAAAATATTAGTGGCCTAGGTGAGAGCTTTCTAAAAGCTAAAAATCACTACACTATATATGTTTTTTGTTTGTTTGTTTGTTTGTTTTTTTGGCAAAAGTTGAAAATAAAGCATCTTACTGATGTTTGCATTACTCATTTTGCAGCTCAATTATGTGCCCAAGCAATGAGGATTTTTGGAGATGTGCACATACAGAAGTCATTTTGACTTCTCTGCCAGTTTGATTAGTTGAAAGACCAGAGCCTTTTTTGGAGGGGATAAGGGAAAACATAATACCTTTTTCAAAATACATACAGGGCTGTCGTATGGAAGAGTGCTTAGTTAGCAGAATGGGAAGAAACAGGTGAAAGTTTCAAGGAGGCATCTTTTGACTCAATATAAGGCAGAGTGAGTGAACCTAAACTGAAATAATTGCTTTGCAAACTAGTGAGGTGTCTGATACTGGAGGTGTTCAAGAAAAAGCCAGACTACCTGATACCCTCTCGAGCCTTTTACAGTCCTGAGAGTTGACCCGTAAAAAAAACCCGTTGCTGTCCAGTGGATTCCGACTCATCAAGACCCTGCAGGACAGAGCAGAACTGCCCCACAGAGTTTCCAAGCAGTGGCTGGTGGATTCGAACTGCTAACCTTCTTGGTTAGCAGCCAAACGCTTAACCATTGTGCACCCAGGGCTCCTGAGAGCTGACACCCCCATGAAATCCAACAACCAATCCCCGATTGATTATTCCAGTGGGACCACTGGCTTTGGTGGAGTGCAAAGCCCCGAGCCATGGTGAATCTTTGTGAGTCATGAAACAGACAACTGTAAACTCACCGACACTTGGCCATTGATGATGACCTCCTCGGAGAAGCGCACTTTGACTGGGTTGGACTTCAATCTCGCCTTCTTTGCAGCACTAATAAATGCTGATTTGGGAGACTGGAAGGAACAGAAGACATTTTCTCTGATGACTCGTAACATAATGCGAACCTTGTAACAGTTGTTTTCCACCTTCATCCTCGCAGATAAGCAATACTTTGGCTAAAAAGTGAAATGTTTGGTGCATGCCTAATTCAAGGATGAAACACAAATTATGGACGCAGTCAAAACCCTGTCATGCCCATAAACTAATATGTTTCATTTAGTCACCAGACCAGAACTACAAACAGCATGTTCCATGTTCTTAGCTAGCACATTTCCAAGGATCTTTTAAAGTGATTGCTGTGAAAGTACGTAAACTCTGCTTTCAATACAGAGCTCTGAGCATAATTGGAAAAGGAGGTGCTAGCCAAATCTACTGTTGAGTTTATGAGAAGTTGATCATTAATTATCTATTTTAATGAGGTGAGATGAGCCACTGATAGTTTTAAAATGATCGATAATCTCACTGGTATCCACATTCAGGACCTATGGGCATGTGAGCAGACAAGCACACACTCTGTCTGTCTCTCTTGTAGCACCCATGCTTTATGTACCCACAACCTGAGTTTCACCCTCTTGTTGGTAATATTTGAGCTTACTGGGCAGGGGGTAGAGAGGAGACCTTGCTCTACAATTAAGAGTTGACTGCATATTCTGCCTCATCTTAGAGTTTGTACTTTAAGATTCTCTCCCGTCTTTTATTGGAAAGAAGGGTTGAACGACTCATTTCTTTTTCCTCAGAATGGAAAGTGCAATAGAACACCCTGCTTACAAGGGTGCTGGGTCCAGGGGGATACCCTGCTGCATGATCTTGGTGAAGTCACTTCATCTGAGAATCATCCTTGGTGCATAATTATAATGAGACCTAAGGTGGAAGACATCTAGTAGATATAGCTAGTAGATACAGGCTATGTTGCAGGCACCATTTAATTATTAAAACAACAACAACTGTATTTTCTCTTGAACCTAATCGAGAAGTAAATATTTAGCTTGAACCACACTATTGCCATCTTTGTACACTGAAATGGTCAAATATTGACAGCTGCATATGGTTCAATCTAATGTTTATCATGGTATACAGTCCTAAGATGTTAAGGCTGTTACTTAAAGAATTCTGGTAATTGATGCTAAAATCAACAGAGGCTCCACCTTCTGTGTCTTAATCTCAAAGCACAAAAGCCAATTAGGGTGACCTGTACTTTGGTTTTCCAGTAAAAAAAACAAAACAAAACAAAACAAAAAAACCCATCTCTGTCAGATATAAGTACTCTTGAGACTAATTAGAAAACAACATGATAGAATGGATAAATAAAACGTGGTCTATCCATACAATGGAATATCATTCAGCCATGAAAAGGAATAAAGTTCTGATACATGCTACAACACTAATGAACTTTGAAAACATTATACTACGTGAAAGAAGCTAATCACAAAAGGCCACATATTGTATGATTCTATCTACATGAAATGTCCAGAAGAGGCAAATCCATAGAGACAGAAAGCAGATGAGTGGTTGCCAGGAGCTGTAGGGAGGGGGAAATGGGGAGTGGCTCTGTAATGGGCTTCCTTTCGGGGTGGTGAAAATGTTCTGGAACTAGATAGTCGTGATGGTTGTACAACATTGGGAATGAACTGAACGATACTGAATTGTACACTTTAAAATGTTTTAGATGGTAAATTTTATGTTATGTGTATTTTACCACAATAAAAAAAAATCACTCTGGGAAAAAAAAAACCATGATAAAATGTGTGTGTGTGTTCCTGGATGAAGTTTTTGGCTTAGTACCAGAAGAATTCCGTTATTTCTGAAGTTTGCCTTCTCTTCCACCCCACCCTTTGCTATGAGCAGCGTCTTAGAGGACTGGATAAATGGGTGGTTTGACCCCCAGAGCTTTAATTCCTCCATTTTTTGCAAGATGTTTTAAGAGAATGGCTGCCCTCTTTAAACAAACCAACAAAAAAAACTTCAAATGGCTGCTCTTCAAAAAAGAACAGCTTTAAAAATGCTCAACTTGACTTTTAAAAGTCCCACTGCTGAGCTGAAGGGACATGCTGGTGGTGTCCTTATCAGTATCCTTGCAATGATAGGTAGGCTGCGTTTAGTGATGATTAACGAACAAACAGTTCGTGAGTTCATTTGCTTTTGATACGCCATTGTTTAGCTGAAGGAAAACATTCTTATCCCTTAATAATTTTAAGCAGGAGATATTTACATTGGCACGATGATGTTAACATCAATGAAGCAGCTATAATAAAGCAACTGAATGAGGTGTTTTAATGCAGCGACACCGCACTTTTCCAGCATTGTTGGGGAATGAAGTATTTCACACATGTCAATGTGCCATATCCAAAACCCAAAACCAAACCCGTTGCCATCAAGTCGAATCCGACTCATAGTGACCCTGTGTCTATTCCTCTATGCGTCCCAATTTTTAAATTTAATATTTTACCACATTTTTTCTAGAATGTTCTGCATAATTCTTTGCCTCAATAAAAAAGTACATTTAACAGAACTTAGTTTTTGGCTGCATGCCATTTACTGTTGCCATGAGTCAGGGCCGATTCAACAGCTGCTGACAATAACAACAATATAATTTACTGTATAATCTAAGGATGTAGAGATGTTCCCAAGGGTCATGGGTGTATATAGGGTTATTTGCCCCTAAACTAAATGGCCCCAGATGGCAGAGCTTGTCAAGCTGGGATTGCTTCTCTCTGCTTTCTGTAGCTATAGCATGCCACCTCATTTAGCCTCATTCCCATATTTATTTACCATAACCAATGACAAAAATGGTAATCTAGGAAGACCAGAAAGGAAACTAGATAACCAAGGCTGTTAAGTCTACATTATTTTATACATAATTTGAAGTCAATAGACTTGAGATAAAAGTCTAAGTAGAAATACATAACAAGCGCATTTTTTCTTGTTTACTTCTGAGTTTGTGACTGCATATAAATCTACGTACATTTTTAAAAATTACTTTTTGATAATAAAAACATTGACTCTCCAAGTCTGAAGGGGCTGCTTACTGAGAATCAACCACAACGACAACAACAAAAATCCAGTTGCCACGAGTCAGAGCTGACTTTGTGACCCCACGTGTGTCAGAGTAGATCTGTACTCCATAAGGGGTCCAGTGACTAATTTTTTGGAAGTAGGTCACCAGGACTTTCTTCCAAGATGCTTCTGGGTGAACCTGAACTTCCAACCTTTCAGTTAGCAGCCAAGCATAGTAACCACTTGCGCCAGCCAGAGACTCCAAGAATCAACAAAGTAATGGCTTTTTCCACTGGCCAGCTACTGGTAGTACACGGGGTAGTGTAAGAGTCACGACTGCAGTTATAACTCAGATTTCTTGTTGTTGTCAAAAAACATAGAACGCGCACCACCTCAAAACCTGGTGAATTAATCCTTAGCAACCTCCAGACCTGTAGGTGCTGATTACAGGCACTTCATATCCTGTGGTGGAAATGACAAGTAATTACCATTTAGAATAATCAGATTCTCCTGCTGTTAATTAATTTTAAGATGAGAAGGACCCTAATCAACTTCTGCTCCTCTTTCCAAACTCTGTTGCTAAGGTGACCACAATAGATGTATGGCATGCTCCCAGTGCATTCAGATGCTCTTATAAGTCCCTAGAACATAGTTTGAAAAAATTACATAAATAGGATTAATTTCTGAAACCGAAGGGTAAGATCTTAAACTTGCAATCAAGTTAGCTCTATGGTATGACTTACGTAGAAGGTATTAGTAAATATTTGGATGATGCCTCATGCTGCCAGTCACCCTGCAAGGGTCAGGTAAGGCAACAAAAGGCAGGAGGGAAGGGGCTTTGTTTTCATTCATTCTGTATTTACTGAGTTGCCTTAGGTTGGGTTTCCCAGACACCGAGCTTGAGGCAAGGATTTGCATGAAACTAATTTCTTTGGAAGTGTTCCCAGGACAGCTGGAAGAGGAGTGGGGAAATGGACCAAGTAGAGATACAATATCAAGCAAATTCCCACGGAGGGACGTTCTAGAGCTAGTCTAGACCAGGGGTCAGCAAACTTCTTCTGTAATGTTTTAGACTTTTCGGGCCAGACGCTCTCTGTTGCAATTACTTCACTGTGCCATCGTAGCGTGAAAGGAACCACAGACAATACGTAAGTGAATGGGCATGACTATGTTCCAATAAAACACCGCTTATAAAAATAGGCAGCGGGCTGGGTGTGGCCTGCGGTTCAATAAAATGTTTTGCAGCCATTTAAATGATGCTTATAAAAAATTCTTGATGACATGGGAAAATGCTCATGATATCTTCAATGAAACAAACAGAATAAAACTGTACATACAATATGATCTCAACTACTGACAAGGCACAGAAAAAAAGACTGGAAGGAAATAGGTCAAAATGTTAATACCAGTTGTCTGGAAGGGAAAGGTTTGATGATTATTTTCCTGCATTTGTATTTCCTTCTGCTTCTTCCACATTTTCCTCTTAAGAAAAAAAAAAAGAAAGGCAGAGAGAGGGAGCCCTACATAATATTTTAAAAAATGAGGCTGCAGTCTGTTAAGAATCATTTCTTATGAAAAGAATTTCTGGGATCCCAAGCCTCCCCTCCCAGGCGCTTTGACCTGGGCCTCTTTGGGGATGGATTTCTGTGGCCAGGTCATCCTACCACAGGTGAAGTGTGCTGGGAGAGTGTCAACTTTGGGTCCCTGTCTTTAGTGGGCTTTATTATACAGAAGAAACGCAACATAAAAAATGCTGGCCAGCAAGTTGCAAAAGAAATTAAAATGCTAATTTTTATTCTCGGCAATAAAAGAATTTATTGACTTTCTTTCGGTCTGCTGCGTCATCTCTTTCTGTACATCGAGCCTGGCTTCTGAGAGGATCTATCTATCGAAGTAATTTCAAAGTTTCAACTCCTTCCTTTCAACTCCTACGATTTAGAGGAGGGAAAAGGCGCTTTGGGCTGAACAGTAAGGAAAACCTTCAGATGGGACAGTGGTTCTCAGCTGGGGGCGATTTTGCCCCTCTTCTTCACCGGGGGACATTTGGCCATGTCTGGAGACATTTTTGGTTGTCACAACTCAGGGGTCGGTGCTACTGGCATCTAGTGGGTGGAGGCCAGGGATGCGACTCAACATCCTGCAATGCACAGGACAGCCCCCCACAGCAAAGAATGATCTGATTTCAATAATGACGAGGTTGAGAAACCTTGAAGTAGCTTGCAGAATTATCGCTGAGACCTGAAGGGTGAGAAGGATTTGGCTAGGCCAAGGAGGTGATAGGATTGGAGTTGGGGAGGGAGGCATTCCAGGAAGGCGGGCTGGTCAAAGGAAAGTAAAAGATGAGAATTCATCTGCAAAGATGGAGCGGGGAGAGAGTGACTCTGAGGAGCAAGGGGCAGCTTGTTCTTGGTGAAAAAAACATGCACCACTTGCTCCTAACTTTTGTGGCTAAATGATGACTTTCAATATTACACCACAGCAACACCCACATGAATGCTTAGAAAATTCCAGATTATCTGTTAAAATGAAGTTCCATGATTCACTGAGAGTAGTGAGTATTCATATGAATAACAAGTCATGAAGACTCAAATGACAAGAGTAAGCAAAGCTACAAGAGACAACTTTTAAATGCTAAACCCTCACCTTCTCTAAGGTTATTGCATGGGGTCAAACATTATCTTGCAAAAATAACCTGGTCTGGAGTAAAATGGTTCTGATCTGATCTTGCATTTCTAAAAGGTTCTAAGTGGAGGGGAGAGAATTCAGGAAAGACCATGGAAACTGGAAGTTCTACCGGGAATTTATAGTTGCTCAATCAGTTGCTTATCATAGATATCTACATTAGCTTCAGCAAAATGGATTTGTCCACTGCAAACAAATGAACACGTGTAGACAGATTTGAAGCAAGTGTGAATGACAATTTAGTTAACTGAAGCAATCTAAAAACAGCCTGGCTGTAATTTATATGGAAGCCCACTAAAGGAACTCAGGTATCATGAGATGGCAGAGCAGAAAGACCCCTGGATAGGATGTTACTGGGCTCTTTCTTATGCAGATGAGGAAACTGGGGTTCAGAGCAGGTATGAGAGTCTCCGCAGTTATATTGCTGGGAGCTGGATCTCAAATCTTGGTTCTATTACATCCTGCTGCCTCCTTAGTTTTCAAATTCAAACGTGTGCGTGTGTGTGTGTGTGTGTGTGTGTGTGTGTGTGTGTGTGTGTACTTGTGGCAAAGAGTTGGGACTAAAAGTAGCAATCAATATTAAACTGAGCTTTTAATATACATAGTTCTTCCTAGATGGCATGATTTGTTATCTTGGTTAGTTCTATTTATGGTCTTATCAGAATCCTGAATATATTTTTGAATATATTTTTTCCTGTCTTGAATGCTCAGCCCACAACACCCAGGAGGAAAATTGTGAGAGATGAAGAATTGGGTCAACACACTGGCTGCTAACCGAAAGGTTGCAGGTTCAAGTCCACCCAGAGGCGCTTTGTAAGAAAGGCCTGGTGATCTAATTCTGAAAAATCAGTCTGAAAACCCTGTGGAGCGCAGTTCTACTCTGACACACATGGGTTCACTGTGAGTTGGGGTCAACTCCATGGCAAATGGTTTGGAGTTTTTGGTTTGAATAGATGGAAAATCAAAAACACTCCAACTCTGAGAGATGAGGAAATGGAAGCTTAAGCAGAATCTCTGCCATTCCATAGGAAGGCCGGGCAGGGTACTGACAGGAAACATTTTGGGAAAAATTGGAAGGAATTTGCCACAGTGTTTTTCAGTTCAACTGACAATGTATGAAATTTCACAAGCAATGGCAAATCTATAGAAGTAAATTAGTGGTTGCCTGGAACTGAGGGTGGGAATGGGGATTAATTCCAAACGGGCACAAGCGATCTTATTGGATGATGGAAATGTCCTAAAACTGTGTGGTGGTGATGACTGCTCACCTCAGTGAATTTTATAAAGATCATGGAATTGCGTGTTTCAAACAGGTGAATTTTAGGGTATGCAAATTATACCTCAATAAAGTTGTTTAAAAAAACAATCGTGGGAACTGAAGGCAATACGATTTTAATCACTCTCCACCCTCCTGGCAAGGCTGCTGAAATCAAATTCTCACGTCCACATTTCCTCTAACGTCCACCTTTATTAAATAAATAATTAATGGTTGTCATTGTCGTTGCTGTTGGGTGCCATTGAGTCGATTCCAACTCATAGCAACCCCATGTGACAGAGTAGAACTGCCCCATAGAGTGTTCTTGCTGTCATCTTTTTTTTTTTTT